ATCATTACCCGGCTCCTCCACCAGAATTGTTACGTACAATCCAAATGGTGTACGAATAACTGTTTATTGGGGCGAACTTGTGCCCGAAAAGTAAAGGAAAATGTAGCGGCGTCTTTAACAGGCGATCAGCAAAAAGGGATCAGTCTCCGAGAAAACCCTCGAGCGGTGCACCACTTCTTTTTCATCAAAATCCCGTGCTGAGGAGGCGCGCGCCGTCACGGCCTTTTCTTGTTTGATCATCAAGCCGCTGATCTTTTGGGGGGTGCACGAACTTGCGCGCATAGTTTGAATACTGCGTTTGCCTTGCGTCAATATGGTGGTTTTGAGTAGTTAAACCCCACAAATCAATCAATCAATGACAGCTTCATGGCCACTTAAAAAGTGCCAACAGTTATTCAGCTACACCACACTCCTGATCCAGGTCCCCCAAATATGCTTTTGTTTCCACGCTTGGCAACTACCATGAGAAGACACCTTCAGGGCACTTCACAATGTCAAAGAAGTGTGCACCAATGCTTAGTTTAGAGGGATTATGAGATGAGGTTTACCGTAATGCAGGGGGAGCCTACTTTGAAAGCCTTTAGTGTGCTGTACTCATCTGATCAGTAAATGTTTTAATTTGACTCATTCACATTGTTCGCTAGACATATTATGTAGGACTAGCCATAGTAGCTTAGCAGGTAGGGTGTGGTGCTGCTGAGCATAAAAATGCGAGTCTGATTTGCAGCCATAGCAGCCACATTTCGATGGAAGCAAAAGGCAAGACAACTCCTGTACTTTGTGCTTTAGGTGCACAATAAAGAAAACAAGTGGCCAAAACTTATGCAGACTCCCCTGTTAAAGCAGGCCTCATAATCATATTGTGGATTGGGAATATAAATTACCATTGAAAAAAACTCGATATCCATACCTGACAACATTACCGACATAAAGCAGCAAAGACCCCTAACAAAATTAAAACAGTATAACAGAAGACAGCTTTATGTGATCATAAAGCTTTGTCTGAATTGCTGCTGATGTGGTTAGAGCTCGTCAACCATTGAGAACTACTACTATTGTATGTTGCTCATCATTTGAACTAGGCCTTGCACGCAGGGCAGCTCAATGTGACATTCAGTCGGGCAGCACTAAACATTGCGTGTACTTTAGGTTGTATTTTTAGGTTGTATTGCATGGCCCCATAGCTTCCATTATTCATTCTTTGGTTATACAACTGCTTGTTGTAAATGGCATTTTTATATTAGAGGAAAATTGTTTACAGTCGACTTTTGTTAAACACAATCTTTAAGTACTAGGAAAATGTGTTCCATTTAACAGGAGTTCTGTTTATAGAGAGATGAATAGGGTTGCAGAATTCAAGTACGAAGCCAATCATAGAAGAGGCAGTTGTTTCATTTAAAGGGTCCCTGTAACACTTTTTGAGCATGGTCAGGAGACTGTGCCGATCGGTAGTAGAGGCTCCTGACAACATGCGAGCTAAATATTATAGCACAGCACGTGGCCTAGAATTCACAATAAATTATTAAAGTTGGCTAAAAAATTGCTTTCTCTTCTTTCGACAAATGATTGAAAATGCTTAAAAAATTAGGCTTGTGTGAATAGTGAATTTTAGGTTCCAAGCAAATTTGAAGCGAATAGTGATTTTGGTCGAATAATTTCAAATTGAATTCGAATAGAATATATGATGTATAAAGAAAAATGGGCATATTTATCAGGCCTCTATACAAGAGCTTTCTTTATTTTTTTCCATTCAAAGTAAATCGAAACAACTTTGAGCAGTATCAGGATTTGACTTTCAATAGGATGCAAGCGATAACCTGTCACTTTAATCATTATAGCTAGAGTGTATAAGCTGGCAAAGGAAGCTTTTAAGCTTCAAAAATGATCAGTGTATTTGAGGATATGCTTACTTAAATAAAAGGGACCCTGCAACAGTTTTTAAAGAAATGGATTCACTGAAGAAGCTTATTGCCTTGTGAATTGACTGCCGCAAAAATTTTCAGAATCTGTCCAGTATGAGCGGAGTCGCAAAGATTTGTCACATGCTACAAATGCATTCTGTCTTCTCGTCCTGACGAAAGCGCTTGAAGCAGGGCCGGGAGAGATGGCATAGGGAAAGCAATGTCGGGTGCATGTCGTGACTTTGAGCACTCTCTCTCTCTCTTTCTCTTTCTTGATTATGCGGCTTTTCAATGCGATCGCACATGAATGCGTGGACATGTCGTGTCACCCGCAGCAGCCCCAGGAACGATCGAGCACCCTATGCTCAAATCGGCCAAGGACTGGTACAGTGGTTGTGACGAGCGATTTTTGACATTGTGGCGCCATTAGCTGAGAGAAGAGAGCAGGTTTTATCTGAATTTGAGGATTTATTGTGAATTCCAGGTCATTTGCTGCACAATAATATTTAGCTCGCATGTTCTCAGTAGCCACGACTACTGATCTACAGGGTTTGTTGACCATGCTGTAAGTGTTGTAGGGCCCCTTTAAATTTGAAGTGCGGCTTCTCGGCAGAGCAAATTTATCTTAAGTGCTTTCATAGCTTAGCATTGCTATACTGCAGTGAAACCATCTTTACAGGCAATTACATGCAGTTTAGTATACATCTATTCATTCATGTCGAATACTTCGAAGTATTCGATAATTAAATTCATATCGAAGCAAACTTGAATAATCTACTATTTGTTCGAATATTCAAAGCATTCAAATATTCGCACAAACCTATAAAAAATCACACGTAGCAAGCCCATCTATCAACCATTGGCTGATTTGAACATGGCACGCTCGGTCGTTACAGAGATCGCCGCAAGAGGGGGCGACTTGTCCACGTGTGCGCCCGTGAACACACTGAAAAAGTCGCGCATTTGAAGAAAAAGAAAAAAGTGCCCAAGGTCACGAGGCGCGGGTAACGTGGTTTTTTTGCCTTTGCCATCCCTCTCTGCTTAGCCTCCAGCGCTTTCGTTGGGACCAGAGAAGAGAGAACGCAATTCCAGCATGCGACAAATCTTTGTAACTCCACTCACACTGGATGAATTCTTAAAATTTTTGCGGCACTGAATTTGTAAGGCAAAAAGCTCTTCCAGTGAGTTCATTCCATGGTTACTTGAAAAAGTGTTTCAGGGCATTAGTTCTATTTGAGCCTGCTGTATTTGGTGCAGTGCTGTGTTAAATTAAGCTGGATGAAATGGTTTTTTGCAGATATTTCTATAGCAGCGGTTGACCTTCTCCAAGAATTGACAGATGTCGATTCTCTCCATGAAAGCCAAGAGGGGGCAGATATGTTAATTGATGCATTGGTGAGTGTTCATCAATTTTACCCAGTAACTTGATGTTTTTTTTTAAACTTTGCATGTAACAGAAACAAAGTGTAAATTGGCCTGGAAATTAAAAGGAATGGCACATTGAATGAGCTTTGTATATCTTTAGCAGTCAGTTCCAATTCTCATTTAATATTGTGCTGTTATCGGAGGTGCAGTTCTTGAAGTAACCTTTAGCTGCAAAAGTACTCTTAATCATTCCACTTATGTGTTCAAATATTACTTATATGTTTAAGCCCTTGCACCCATTCGATCGGTAATTTTGAATCATTCGACTAGTGATGTTAGTGAGGAAAAAAAAATTCATGTGGAATCTCCTTTGAGGGTTGCTGAAGGGATTCGTAATCTCTGAATTTTTTTGTACCTTGCATCCTTCCCAACAACATTGTTGATGGGCAGCTCAGCATGGTATCTTTCATCTTCTTTCTAGGATTTTTTGGTGTCTAGTGTCAAGCATTTGTTGGTGTCTAGATGCACACATTTGCTTCAATTTGTCGCAGAGTAGCAATCCCCCTAATGTCTACTATCATCCATGTCAGCTTTGCATCTTGACCTGCTGAGAGCTTTTATTCTACAAGCACTTAAAAGCAGTTTAGCTTTTATAGAAAGTCTTACCTTTCTACATTTGCTTTGCACCAAGGTAAAACATGTTTAGATGATTCATATCTGTACTGTGTTAACAAGCATGTGTGTGTACCCAGTGCTTAACACATTGCCTTTATAGTGTAGGGGCCTGGGTTCAGACCCCAGCACTGGTGTGCACTTTTATTTTGTTTTATTCATCTGTTTCTTTATGCCCATGATCATTTTATGGGACGGGTGAAACAGATGTGCAGACAGTTTTCACATTAAGTCAGTGTAGAAATGATTAGGCATTTAAAGAAACTTGAAAACATTGTGTGAGAACATTGTACTAACCCAGCAATTTGGGCAAGTTGGTATGCTATCTTCGTCGTTGTCCTTTTGTCCGTGTCACACTGCACGTTTATGCGAAGGTCAGAACATTGTGCTTAATGTAGAAGCATCTCCCTGCTAATAAAAACAATTGCACAAGCCACTTTGGTGGAGAGAGTCATGCAAAACAAATGTAATTGTGAAGTGTAGTCATAGTTTTGACAAATTCTTTTGGAAATGCAAATACTAAACTCCATAAGCCTGTACCAACTATGCTGCCTATCTACCCCTGCAGGTTTGAAATTAAGTTTGACTGTTACTTTGTATCACTGTGCTGAATTTGTGTTATATCTGGTAGTGGAAGACAGGCATAAAAATGTCCAACACATGTTCGAAAATATATTTAGTTATTCTTTTTATATAGCACATTATGCTTGTGTAATAATTTACTTTTTGTAATTATTAAGATTGGCCTGTAGTAGCCTGTACAATAAGTTACATATCACAGTATTTGTTCTGGTGCATTTGTGCCAAATTTAAAAGATTATATACTAGTAGTTTGAAGGTCTTCAGAACACTAAATCATGAAGTGCTTAAAGCTTATTTCGTCAACATAGCCTTATCGATAATAGTTTGAAATGCTACATATATGTAATAGTAGAATCAAATAATGCAAACATTGCAATTTTTAAATTTTATGCAAATACTCCTTCTCGGTGCGCTTGGTTTGAAATGAAATGTCAAGTTGCAATGTGAATTGCTTAAAGTGCTCCTTTGGTCAGTTCAGACATGTAATCGTGTCCTTGCCTGATACAAATGGTGACACATGTGAATGATTTTTTTTCTTTTTGCCCCCAGATTGATGGTCAGATTGTGGCTCAATTGGTGCAGAATTTGGAGCGGTTAGATGAAGCAGTTAAGGAGGAAGCAGAAGGTGTCCACAATACCCTTGGTGAGCGAATTGGTAGACTGGAATCAAGCTGTTGGTTGTAATGTTATGTTAAAAAAGATTAAAGCAATGTTAATTTGCTCAGAGCTATTTTTTAACGTTGATTTATGCCAGAAATTTGCTTTGTTTCTTTTTTTTGAATACAATTGTACCTGATAAATAAATAACGATGTGTAATGGTAAAAAAACAAAGAAATTAGCTACACATATGTCTATGGGAAATAAACATAGGCAGGGTGTCTGTGACGTGCCATAGAAATATCTCCTAAGCATTTTTGCTTTGAAAAAGTAGTCTTACCTTGTTCAAGACTGTGGCTCTTCAGCTGCAGCCTTGAAGAAGACAAGACGGCCTGTTAAAATGTTGGCCCCAGAGGCACCCATTTTTGAGAATGCTCTGAAATAGTTAGGTCAGCTCATTTCGTTCGGTTTATTGATTCAATCTTGATAAAAAATTTTGTTTGGTCAGGCAGGAGGAGGAATGTATGATAATTGATTACTAATTATTCATTGCTAATTTATATTTTTAAAGCAGTAATTGATCACTGTATTTAACTAGAATTCTTAATGAAGCTATTGTAATCACTTACTATCTCTTCCATAATATTGTGTGACAAGTTCAGTAGATGCCTACAATATGTAGAAGTCTGGCTGGAAACCATTGCCAGCAATTCACTATGTGACGCCAGTGTTTTGCTTGTTGCGTTTGCTTTGTGGACATGTATGGTTGTAAACATGGATACTTACGGTGCAAATGAGGCATATAAAACTCCCACATAGTTTCATCCCACGTCATAAAATCACTGACTCGGTTCTTGCTTTTTAGGGGCAGCTCATAGTGCACGATGTGCAGACAGCTCAATGTACACCCCCGTAGGGGCGCCTGCGCAAGTAGGCGTTTGGTGTGTAGCGACACCACGGACCCGAGCTAACGGGGGAGTTTCGGCTCCCTCCCACGCCTAGCCGTGCGTGGCTTTGCCGTGTCCGGGAAAAAGGGGATCCTGGGGGTTAAGCTGACGCTCAACCCCCAGGCCTTTGGCCCCGGCTTCACGTAGACGGCACCCCTGGGCTGACCCACCCAGGGGAAATCGGCAGTCGCCGTTTCCTATCTCTCTCTTCCTACATCTTCGTCTTTATCTCTCACTTTTTATCTGTCCTGTCATCTTCTCTTTTCCGTTTACTTCCGAATTTCCTGGCGGCGAGGGTTAACCCTGTGTAGTTACCCAACCTTGGGTAGTTATATTCGGTTATAGCGGCGATGCATGGCTGGCGTCTCCAAGTGTTCACTATTCAACCTTGTAGCGTCCCCTTGTTGGGCTCGGTGGTGGGTGGCCACCATCGCCGCCGAATTTAAAATGCTTCTTATGGAAAACCCTTTTCCTGCACTCCCTGATCGCCGCCTGAAAAGGTGGCGCACCGATGACAGCTTCTTTACTGCACAGCCTAAACAGACCTTCCCCAAGTATCATGTAATCCACAGCCAAAATGAAAAGAAAACAGTTCGATCTATTTCACCATTTATTGTCTCGAAAACGCTCACAGATGCAATTGGCCCTGGCTATAAAGTAACTAAGATGGGGAATGGTGATCTCCTTCTAGAAGTTCGCGACAAGACTCAGTACGACAAGCTCACAAAACTCGTTTCATTTGATAACATCCCAATATCAGTGGGCCCACATAGGTCGATGAACACAGTGCGTGGTGTCATATCTGATGATGACCTCCTCGAGCTTTCTGAAAGTGAATTGGTCGAAGGCTGGCAAGAACAAAATGTAGTGAAAGTACAGAGAATAATAATCAGGCGAGATAATAAACAGATCCCAACAAAGCACATCATAGTTACCTTCGGTACAAGCAACCTTCCCGACTCTATTGAAACTGGTTACTGCAAGCTTCCTGTCAGACCTTATATACCGAATCCTCGCCGATGTTTCAAGTGTCAGCGCTTCGGACACGGATCCCAAACGTGCAGAGGGCGCGCTAGGTGTGGGAAGTGCGCATCTTGTGAACATGTATCCGAAAACTGCACTTCAGAAGCCTGTTGCGCTAACTGTGAAGGAGATCACGCTGCCTACTCCCGATCATGCCCTGCATGGAAAAAAGAGAAACAAATATTAGAACTTAAGGTAAAGTTCAACCTGTCATTTCAAGAGGCACGTCAACGTTTTTGTACACACAATAATTCTGAACCTTCCTTCGCCGACGTGGCGCGTCGAGGCGCCGTGCCACGTTTTTCGGCACCCGCGAGATTCACACCAAGTGTGACTGCGGTTGTGCCAGAAGAGCCTCCGGCTGGAGCAGTCTGTACTGCTCCGCCTCCTGTTCAAAAAGGCCAGCAGACTACAGAGTCTGCTGGACCCCGGACCACTGCAAGTGCAGTCAGGTCCGAAACTGCCATAAATGTGCCTGCCAAGCAGGCACCATCCACCACCTCAGAAGAGGTGATGGACACAAGCCATACTCCTCCGGCGCCCCACACGCCGAAGGAAAGGCGCAGCTCTTTGGAGCGAAGCAAAAAAGAGAAAACCCGTATTACAGGGCCCCAACAGGCCCTATAACTTAAGGCAACGTTTCTGTACACACAGCACTTAACTACATTAAAAATGGAGACACAAATTTTACAGTGGAACGTTGGAGGACTACTGAAAAACCTTGACGATATTCAAGAACTTTTACATAAACAGTCACCAAAAGTGCTGTGTGTACAAGAAACACACCTAAAACCCAAGATCACTAATTTTCTACGCCAGTATATCATTTTTCGAAAGGACAGGAATGAAGCTGTCACGTCATCTGGTGGTGTGGCCATTATAGTAAATCAAGGGATTGCATGTACTCATCTACCACTCGAAACATCTCTTGAAGCAATGGCTACTCGTGTAGTCCTCCTGAACAAACTCGTGACCATCTGCTCTGTCTACATACCTCCACACTACCATCTTGAAAAACGTGAATTCCAGTCCCTAATAGATCAACTTCCAGAACCTTATATCCTCCTTGGAGATTTCAATGCACATAGCAATCTATGGGGTGACTCTCGCTGCGATGCTCGAGGCCGCCTGATTGAACAGCTCCTTTTTTCTTCCGGTGCGTGCCTGCTCAATCGGAAAGAGCCAACATATTATAACATCGCTAACAATACGTACTCAGCAATAGACCTCAGCATAATATCTCCATCACTCCTGCCTCTACTTAAATGGGAAGTCATTAATGATCCATATGGTAGTGACCATTTTCCTATCGTTATCAGCACATCAATAACAAATACATGTCCTGCACAAGTTCCCAAATGGCTCACCGACAAAGCTGATTGGGGAAAGTTTCAAAAAATGACTTTATTATTTTGGACTGACATGGCGGCATTGAGCATAGAGGATGCTGTATGCTACTTTGCAGCTTTCTTGGTTGATGCAGCAACAAAATGTATTCCCCAAACATGTGGACCATCAAGCAAACGATGAGTACCATGGTAAAATAATGAGTGCCGTGATGCTCGGAAAAAACAAAATAAGGCATGGAGGTTGCTTAGAGACTCACCCACAGCCGAAAATCTTGTAAACTTTAAGAACGTCAAGTCGCAAGCAAAGAGGATGCGCCGACAGGCGAGAAGAGAAAGTTGGCACAAATTTGTATCGGGCATTAACTCATACACAGATGAGTCGAGAGTCTGGAGCATGGTTGGTAAGGTGGCAGGACGAGGAGCACATTCGCTTCCTCTAGTGAACACACAAGGGGAGAGTTTGGAAGACCAGGCAAACACTCTCGGAGCGCACTTCGAACAGGTCTCCAGCTCAACACACTATAGTGAAGCGTTTCGACGATACAAAACCGCAATAGAAAAACAAAGATTAGAGCGCAAGCCCAGAACACATGAGGCATACAACGAACCTTTCTGTTTGGCTGAACTGCAGGCCTCACTTGCCTGCTGCAATAAATCTGCCCCAGGCCCGGACCGTGTGGCATATGAAATGTTAAAACACCTGCCCACTGAAACCCAGAAAGCTCTCCTCTCTCTGTATAATGCGATATGGTCTTCTGGCGAGCTACCCTCATCCTGGAAGGAAGCTATCATTATCCCAATCCTAAAACAAGGCAAGGACCCGGCCTCAGTTTCCAGCTACAGGCCAATAGCATTAACCAGCTGTATTTGCAAAGTCTTTGAAAAAATGATTAACAGGCGCCTGATGCACTTCCTTGAAATTAGTGGCCTACTTGACCCATACCAGTGTGGGTTTCGAGAGGCTCGGTCCACCACTGACCACCTTGTCCGTATCGAGGCACAAATTCGCGACGCTTTTGTTCATAAGCAATTTTTTCTTTCTGTGTTTCTTGATATGGAAAAGGCATATGATACTGCATGGCGCTTCGGCATATTGCGAGACCTGTCACATTTAGGTGTGCGGGGTAGAATGCTGACAGTTATCGAAAGCTACCTGTCCATCCGTACATTCCGTGTCCAAGTTGGCACTGTCTTATCTCGAGTATTTGTCCAAGAAACAGGAGTGCCACAAGGAGGTGTATTGAGCTGTACACTTTTCATAGTTAAAATGAATTCCTTGCACCTGTCTCTCCCACGAAATATTTTTTACTGCATATATGTCGATGATGTGCAGATTGGTTACAAATCGTGCAACATCTCAATGTGCCAACGTCAAGCTCAACTAGGGTTGAACAAGGTATCTCAATGGGCAAACGAGAACGGTTTTATACTCAACGCGCAAAAGAGCACTTGTGTCTTGTTCAGCCGAAAGAGTGGCCTCCATCCTGACCCCGACATTGACCTGCATGGTCAACCTCTGTCAGTGAAGACCGAGCACAAGTTTCTCGGTCTCATATTAGACACTAAGCTAACCTTCATCCCACACATCAAGCATTTAAGGGACTGGTGCTTAAAAACAATGAACATTTTGAAAGTGTTGTCACACACTACATGGGGTAGTGACAGGAAATGTTTAATTAACTTATATAAAAGCCTCGTACGCACACGCCTAGATTACGGTGCTATAATCCATCAGTCGGCAACACCATCAGCCTTGAAAATTCTCGACCCTGTCCACCATCTAGGCATTCGCCTCTCTACGGGTGCTTTCCGCACCAGCCCTGTGGAGAGCCTGTACGTGGATTCGAATGAATGGTCGCTCCACCTACAAAGATGTTCCCTGTTCTTTTTGTACTTTTTGAAGGTGAAGGCAGACAAGAAACATCCTTCCCATTTCACAATTAATGATTTGTCTTGTTCTGGCTTGTTCGAGAACCGACCTTCGTTTAGGCAGCCCTACGCGCTGCGTGTAAGGAGCCTGGCCGAAGGAACAGGTGTGCCTCTTCTTGAACCCCAGTTTGATGGCTCCTGCAACATATCTGCCACCGTGGCAGTGGCAGCTTATAGACTGTGATGTTTCTTTTGTTGATGTCACAAAGCACGCACCACTTGCACACATACATACATACTTTTTAGAACTACAACATAAATACACATGCCCTGAGTTCTTTACTGATGCGTCAAAGTCAAACACTTCTGTGTCATATGCAGCAATAGGCCAATCCTTTTCCGAGGCCGGCGTTCTTCATCCTAATGCAAGCATTTTCACAGGAGAAGCTTACGCAATACTGGCGGTCGTAAAACACATTAAACAGATAAAATTACAAAAGGCGGTAATATACACAGATTCCTTAAGCGTGGTCAAAGCCCTGAAAACTCCTAAAAAACACAAAAACCCCGTGCTGGTGTCACTCTACTCACTTCTGTGCACACTCTACACATCAAAACAGCATGTCGTTGTCTGCTGGGTTCCAGGGCACCGTGAAATACAAGGGAACGTTTTGGCCGACAATCTGGCTGCTTGCGCCAATGTCACTACTGCCAATGCATCAACACCAGTCCCTGCACTTGACTTAAAACCTTTTATAAAACGAAAGCTCAGGGGGTATTGGCAGAGCATGTGGGATAAACAAATAGATAATAAACTCCATGCTATTAAGCCGCAACTAGGTTATTGGCCGCCACTATCAAAATCACAACACACGGAAGTAATACTCACAAGGCTTAGAACTGGACACACACATTCTACACATTCATTTCTTCTGTCTACCGGTGATCCACCATATTGTGAGAGATGTGGAGAGCCCCTTACGGTTCTTCACATTCTCGTCCAGTGCAATGAGCTAGATGCTCTAAGAAAAAAGCACTTTTTACTGCCCTACCGACAGCAGCTCCCTCTACACCCTGGGATGCTCATCGGTAGGGATCCACTTTTTAAACTGCAAACACTTTTTACGTTTTTAAAAGAAGTGCAAAGCTTTCACCCGGTATTTCGAGGTCATCCGTAGCACGACCTCTGTAGAGGGGTCGTGGCTGCGGTGACTATATCTTCACCATGGTTTTATTATCATGACATTTTGCCATCAGCTATCACCACACATATGTCACGCCACTGTCATGATTTTATTACTTTCATGTTTTAACCCGCATTAGAGCGAGGAATTTTAAGGCCCCTTTACAGCCACGCACCATATCATTGTTCATATCTGTAGTCAATTGAAATGGCACTCTTTGGCCATCAATTGGCCCTTGTGCCACTAAAAACTACTCATCATCATCATCATCAGCTCAATGTACGAGGTAGACCACATCTCTACCATTTTACACCCTTTTCATTACTCTATAGTCTGGTACAACTTGAGAAAGCAGGAGTGGCCCTGCTCAGATGACCGAAGCGCAGCAGCCAATTTGCTCCGCGATTAAAGAAATAGTACCACTAAAAAAATTGCGACTGCTTCTAAAATGCGTATTTGTCGGTACGAGTGCTTTGGTAAGACTGTAATGATGGAAAAGCGACAGCACATGCCGGATCGCGCGAGAAAAATAACTTCGTGCCTTCTACAACTCTGTGCCTCGTCTGCTAGGGAGCAAGATCGAGGACACCGAGCGTGTAATTGTGAAGCAGTCGCTGGTTTCATAGCATAAGATTCGCATGTACTTTTTGTGCGTTTGCGCAAGCTTTTTTTTTTTCAATGTATTAGGCTTTTTTTTTTTTCCGGTTGTGAACCTGCAATCTTGTAAGTTCGCGCACGTTGGTGCACGGCATTCCGTATTAGAGTTAATCAATTATACGAGTTGCAAAACTGCGTTCCGAAATCCGGACATGCAGTTAGCCCAATTTTTGGGAAGTTAGCTGACGTTCGCGCCACCTGGGAGCAACAACACAAAACACATATAATGTGTTTAATAGTGGGCATGCACATCAACAGGTGGCACGACAATCTGCTCACTCCCAACAAGGGGGCCAGTGATGTGTTCAGATTTCGATACATGGAGCCTTTGGGGATTTTCGCTACTCGTATAATTGAATAACACTCCTCCGTGCAAGTTCACAGTAGATACCAGGCTTTGGCGAACTCTCCTCGTCATAACTTCACTTAGGCGCAAATAAAACACCATGAAACAAACACGCACAATGTTTGTTTGCATTGGTATGTTGCCGCTGGATCCTGTTTCTAGACGAAGCGCAGCGCAGCGTCACCGATATTCGCTGCAGTCCCTCTTCGCCGGCTCACGGCTCAGCACAAACATGCGCGGCACAATTGTGTATAGTAAGCTCACAATAATATTTCCGGCATGACAGACCACCACACAAAATTTGAATTGACTCTGACGAAGGGAGACTCACACAGCCAACGAGACTCGGCCCAGTTCGAAGCGAGGGCAACCATGTTAGGCATGTTCTCCGTCGGCTGGGTCCGCGGCTAGAGTGTAGTCCAGCGCATGGCGTCACCTGAAGTGCGCGTCTATTGGTGAAGGCTAGTGTACATCCGCCTTTGAGGGGAAAACGCTGCTGCCTTCTTAAGTTGTACCCGACTGTAGTAGAACATTGCCTATCTGCCCTACACATTACATGGCTGCCCTGGCTCCGTTTGTTCCTCATTATGCCAACTGAAATATCGGCTACCACAGTTTGCCTTTTTTTTCCTAATCCTCCCCCCCTCCTCTTTTTTTGTCATTGCTATCTGCATGATTCTTTACTTAGTGTCAAGTATCTGACCATATTTTATATTGGTAGAATGCAACGATTGGGCACCTTTTCGTGTGTGCCGGCAGGAGAAAATTGCAAACAGAGCAAAATGAATTAAAGTAGTTGGGGCCAGACATGTGAGGCATTTTGTGATTTTGTGAGATGCATGTTGAGAATGCATAATCTGAATTTCCTTTAATTTTTTTTGACATGCCACTTTATCATTACTGTCTTTTTTTACTCCCCACAAGAATGGCAGCTTTCAAACATTTTGTTCTGTTACATTAGAGCATTTTTTTTTGCTTTGAAGCATTTTGCTTTTTGCAATTTGCTAAGGTGCAATCTACGGCAGCATAATATTTGCTATGGCTTCAATGTTTTTTTTCTCAGACCCATAAAAAAAAAGGCAATTTGTGTGTGATAACGAAAGAGTCAAGAAACATAAACTTGTAACTTTGCTTTAGACTGTTGCAGTGTTTTAACTCTGATAACTGCAAGTTTAAAATTTGACACCTATTTCAGCTATTGTAGAAAACTTGGCTGAGTTCCGGCCAGAATTGAGCATTGAAGCAGCACAGCAAGGACTTCTTGCCTGGATATTAAAACGGCTCAAAGTGAGTAGCTCGTGCATACTTTATGATTAATTCTGTACTATAAACTCCCCATTTTAATTCAGTTATAGGGCCAGCCAATCTTGTTTAGTCATTAAGAAGCTTCTGATAGGGCATCAAAAATCAAGCAACCTGAAAAGCAGACGGAATTTCAAGGGAACGTGTAATTTTATATCATTGTACTTTGACGGTAGGAAAGCTTGTCCACTTGCTTTCTTCTTTCGTTCTTGAGGTAGAGCACTGCAGTCTATTCTTCGATAACATGTTTCATTCTCCAACAGGCACCTAATTCACTTCCCGCAATGCTGAAAAGTGCAACATTCACAATCTTACCTACTACTGCTTCCAGCACTCCGAAGTTTTGTTAAGAGCTTGAAACCATACATATTCTACTTAAAATGGTATTTGCATACTTGTTAACAAAACATATGGGAATTGTGAAAAAAAAAGAGAGAAAAGAGGAATCATGTTTTAATCAGTCATTAAATTTTAGTAAGAATGACACTGTGGCCTACTTACTCAAGGAACTTTAATCTGACTGTCCATTCTAATTTCCAAGTCTCCTAAAAAGAGAGCAATGCAACCCAGAGCAGTGGGTTGAATTTCTTTGTGCTGCAACTATGTGACAAAGCCAACAAGAGGTGTTGGCTTCCACAAGCCCGTGCACTCTGAGAATTGTTTGCATCCTTTGATGCTTCTCTTTGTCTTGAGATCAATAAACGTATCGAAGCTTGTGTTTATTTTCTCGAAAAAATTTATCACCTACTACTTTCCTGTCGAGAATGCTGTCATGCTGACAGTGTGCATGTTGTTGGTGGCCTCGTCGTCTGGTAACTAAAAATAACCATGTTTTTTACTCCCATAACAGGCGCACTTGCATATGCACATTCCGAACTTGGCTGTGAGCAGTAGTTCTGTACCGTATTTGCAAAATTGCAATTCTACGCCCTCTTACGTAAACTGGAGCAAAGAAAAAGAAAGGGAAAAAAATTACAGCATATCCGTGGAGTGAATGACGATGAGTGGGGCGAAGTGTCCTTCTGCCAGCGTGCCCATGCATCCGTCCATACGTCCGTCTGTGCTTCTGTTCGTCTGTGTGTCTGTCAGTGTCTGTCCGTCTGTCTGATACTGCCGGTTACGAAGAAGAACGGCTATTTGGGCTAGTTGGTTAAATTCTATGGTAATAAGGGTTGCAGCGCAAGCACGAAGTGCTAGAAGAAACGAGAAACGAAAGGCGAGGCAAGGAAAGCAAAGAGGACAACACGAGCGCTGACTACCAACTGATTACGCCTGATGCAGGACAAGGTTAGACTAAGAGGAGCTTTGCCCCCGAAAAGACCGCGGCAGTGCTGCAGCTGTGCGGGTTCAATGAGTGAGGAAGAAGGGCGATTGCCTAAGTGTCTGAGTAACCTTTGCACCTGCGCTGGCATGGCTTCGGCCGCCTGACGGCCGTGCGCACTTCATATTGAACGTGCGATCGCGTCCTCATCAAGAGCCCTTTGTGTTTCCTGTGAAGAAAAGCGTCTTTGTTATCGCGTTTGTTACCTTGTTTGCAAATTCGAAAGCTTTTTGGCTTTGCTGCCACTATGTGGACTTGCACAAGCTCGGCGGATTTTGTCACCGTTGATTGTGATCTTTTCGAAGCGCAATATTCATGTTGTCTTGTAACAATGTCCAGCAACAATGTGCCAAACTGTAGGATGGGCCTAATCGGCATTTGTTTCATTTTGGGGGTGGTTGAGGACAATCAAAGTTGCAGTTTTGTATGGAATCAATGGAACTCATTGTGGTGGCTCTGCTTGAAGGAGAGGCATGAGTAGCGTTTGTAACACTCGAATGGTGGTTCGTGATTCAATTGGAATGTCTTGGATATAGGGTGCGAGCCCACAAAATCGAAAGATCGGTACGATTTAGCACACAAAATTTCGGTCATGACAATGCGCATAATCTAGGTGGCCTGAAACGTAATCGTTGATTTTTTTTTCTCCCTTTTTTACTGCACACATTCATTTTGTAGGCAACGCGGGTCTTTCAATGTTAATTTTTGAAAATTTGAATGCTTGTAAGCGCACCGCATCACATGTCTCGATTCTTGGACATGCGAGGCTGCATTCTCAACACGTTTTGTGCTTGTGTAGCCTATGAAGAAGGTTGTTTTGGCTGTAGTGCAGGTATTTGTGATTTCGGCAACTTATCTTATCTGCAATCTATGCTGTAGTTCGGAAACATTCGGAAATTTTGCCTCCATGTTTGCCTCCATGTTTGCCTCCATGTATGGTTGTAAACTTGGAGCCGGACTTTTTGGAAGAATAGTGTGCCTATCATGTGGGTGAATGTAGTACATTCAAGGTCTTTCCAATCTCATTTGCAGTTCTTTAGCTTTTTGGGCAGTATATGTAAGCAAGACTACCTACTTGCGATAGCTTTTACTATGCAAGTAATAAAGATTTCCACCACAATGCTGTATAATACTAACCAGTGTATGTGGTGGCCCCTCACCTATTGCTGTTGTTAGTTCATGTTGAATGATGAGCCTATGAAGTGCACAATGCTTCAAAGCACGTTATTATAAAGTATTGCTTGAGTGAAGTAAAACATTTGAAGTTATTTCTGATGGATGAATTCAGAAATAATAAACAAACCCATGTTTTTATATTTACAAACAGGGTGTCTAAACATAAATTTTTTTACTAGCATAACTTTGCATGTTCATATCGGATGAAAAAAAAAGGGGGGGGGTGACATCTGTAGAATTTATGAGTGTAGCACCATGTACAAAATAGTAATAAAGCATCAAATGAAATCAAAGTTTTATTTTGCATAGCGTTGTTACAGCGTGAAGGATATACAGAAGAGGGTCCCAAGGTCAGGGGACCGTACCGGGACCCTCTGTACAGAATGATCAGATACGAGGTTTGTTAAAAAAGTATCCGACCTTATTTCTTTTTGCGAGCACCTGATGGATTTGAAACAAGCGAACTTGCATCAACCGACCTGGCACCTTCGTGCGCATGCGTGAATTTTTCCCGCCTGCCAATAGCGACATTCGCTTGAATGGAGCGTTTGAGTGAGGTACTGGGCAGTCCTCTAGTTGGTTTTTCATTTCAAAGAAACTGACGGAGCGACTAGAGCAGCGCTAAGGCATCAAATTTTGCTGGGAACTGGGCAACAACCAAGTGGAAACCATTTGGAAGATCAAGACAGCTTTTGGTTACGACGCTATGAGCCGCGCACAGATTAAGGAGTGGTACAACCGGTTTAAAGACGTTCGCACATCGATGGAGAGAGAGCCGCGCTCCGGTCGGTCATCAACATGCCGAAACGACCAGGTCATTGCTGAAGTGAAGGCTTTGGTGATGCGGAATTGTCGTGTGACTATCTGGGAAATCGCGGAAGAGGTGGGCATCAGCACTTTCTTTGCACGTTCCATCATGGCCGAAGATTTGGCCATGAAGAGAGTTGCGGCGAAATTTGTGCCGGAACTGCTCACGATGAAGCGTAAGCAACTTGGTGTTGAAGTCACAGGACCTGCTGGATTTCACAAGCAGGGACCCTAACTTGATGAACGCAAATCTATTATCACTGGTGGCGAGTTCTAGGGTGCACGGGTATGACCCGGAAACCAAGTCTCAGTCGTCACAGTGGAAGCATTTCTTGTCATTAAGACCAAAGAGGCCCGCCAAGTGTACGTCAAAGTGATGCCGAGTGCTTTTTTTGACTCCGGCGGTGTGGTACACCACTAGTACGCACCCCAGGGTCAAACAATCACCTAAGAGTACTACGGGGATGTCCTCCATCACCTACGTGATGCTGCACTGCGCAAGAGACTTGAGTTGGGGTCTACAGGAAACGGGAGCATCGATCACGGCAATGCTCTTGCACATTCCTCACACTCGGTTGAGACTTCTTTGGTGAAAAGTCAACTGCTGTAGTTTAACAGGCTTCTTTTTCTCTCCTGATATGGCCCCCTGTGACTTCTGGATGTTTCCCAAACTCAAGAGGACATTAAAATAAGAACGATTTCAGACAAGGGAGGACATTATGGCTGCAACGACAGCTGAGCTAAGCTCCATACCAAATGAGGCCTTCTCAGAATGCTTCCAACAATGGCAGCACCGCTGGGAGAAGTGTGTGGGGTCCCAAGGAGACCGCTCTGAGAGGGATTAGGTTTCACTACTCCAATCATGCCAGTTTTTTTCTTCCACCAAAGTTTGGATACTTTTCTAACAGACCTCAAACAAACTAGGAAATATGCACGAGTAAACCAGAAGAAAATGCACCCACACAGGTGAAAAATATACACAAAAGGAATACTGTTTAATAAAACTTGTTGTTGGGCTAGTTGGTTATACATCATATACTTAGAAATTTTGGCGCAACCTCGACTCACGCAAACACTCACACAAGCACACACACTTACACCAGAGCAACACACACGACACGCAGCGCTCACTACCAACTGTTTATTGCTCCTATCTGACCTTCTTAAATACGTACATCGAAATGCGCAAAGGCACAAACTAACAGAACTGCGCCAGTAGAAAACCAACATGGCGTCACCACACCACTAGGAACAAGTAAAAAGTAAAAAAAGTAAAAAAGTAAAAAAAAGTAAAAAAAGGGGGGTTAACACGAAAAGGAGATATAATCGCTAAACCCTCGCATCAAGGAAAGATATTTCTTGTTGATGCAACACCAAAGATGGCTCGCTGACACATATATCTTTATTCTTTTCTATATAATATGCTTCTAACAGCAAACGTGCTGATAAATTTGAGCTTCTCCCAAGAATCCTTGTATCCGAAAATCGTGGTTCACACCCACATGCGGCAATGTGCGACACAAGATGTGCGTACTTATCCTCGTTTTTCTTAACCTTTAGCGCATGCTCCCTAAGCCGGTCATTGAGGCATCGCTCGGTAATGCCAATGTACACGTTACCGCAGGAAAAAGGAATGGAGTATACAACTCCCATGGAACATTTTACGAAGGCATTCTCATGTAGTGAACACTTTTGTTGGGTGTACCGGCCTAGAGTGAAGAAGGGGCTGTTGCCGTATGATTCTGCACACTCGAAATTAGTTAAAAGAGGTATTGCTTCGCTATGTCTAGAATCCTCGTTGATTAAGTCGTGTCCACACCACATGCGTACTAGTTTTTATGAACAGATCAGCCGATTGACGGCGGCGGGCTTCCCTTCGTCGGTCCTAAACGCGGTCGCCGAGTCACTACTGCAGAAGATGAAACGTGGAACACAAAGGGATAGAGCTTCTTGGGATCCTTCGGGTTCCAAGCTTCAAGTCGTGCCTTACGTGCACAAGCTCTCCCATAATATTAAGAAGGTTGCTGCAAGGCATGGTGTGGCTGTGGTCTTTTCTGCGCCAGAAAAGCTCGCCAAGTTATGTCCGCGTATTTGCAATGGCAAGAGACGCGGTTGCGTGAAAAAACATGAGAATGCCTTCGTAAAATGTTCCATGGGAGTTGTATACTCCATTCCTTTTTCCTGCGGTAACGTGTACATTGGCATTACCGAGCGATGCCTCAATGACCGGCTTAGGGAGCATGCGCTAAAGGTTAAGAAAAACGAGGATAAGTACGCACATCTTGTGTCGCACATTGCCGCATGTGGGTGTGAACCACGATTTTCGGATACAAGGATTCTTGGGAGAAGCTCAAATTTATCAGCACGTTTGCTGTTAGAAGCATATTATATAGAAAAGAATAAAGATATATGTGTCAGCGAGCCATCTTTGGTGTTGCATCAACAAGAAATATCTTTCCTTGATGCGAGGGTTTAGCGATTATATCTCCTTTTCGTGTTAACCCCCCTTTTTTCTTTTTTTACTTTTTTTACTTTTTTTACTTTTTTCTTGTTCCTAGTGGTGTGGTGACGCCATGTTGGTTTTCTACTGGCGCAGTTCTGTTAGTTTGTGCCTTTGCGCATTTCGATGTACGTATTTAAGAAGGTCAGATAGGAGCAATAAACAGTTGGTAGTGAGCGCTGCGTGTCGTGTGTGTTGCTCTGGTGTAAGTGTGTGTGCTTGTGTGAGTGTTTGCGTGAGTCGAGGTTGCGCCAAAATTTCTAAGTATATGAAGGAATACTGTGTTAATAAGTGACAATAATGACGTATTTTAGTACATAGAACTGCTTTCTTATTTGTAAAATACTGCAATAATGAAATACAAGCTTATTCTGACAATGAAAACATGCTGTAAAAGCTACCACAAATAGTAACAATGCAATTAAGACAATGTTCTTATGTGATTAAACAGGAAAAGAGAAACTGCTAATAGAACACAGTACATGCTATCATCCATTATTGGCTCAAGATATGAGCTTTAAGTGTTTTTTTGAGCGCAGCAAAAAATGACGATGTTTTGGTGGGGTGAGGGAGAGAATTTCACATTTTGATAGCACAGAATGATGCCGTCATTTTGCCATAATTCGTAAATGCTTTCGGCAGCAAAATTTTACTTTTTGAGCTAAACGAGTGGGGTTATTATTCTTCAAGGAATACAATGAAACGAATTTGTGGGTGAGATCCTGATTGATTAACCTGACGAACATGGTGATTAAGTTGAATGCGAATTAGTTGTGAGCAATTCATTTTGTGTGTGTATGATATTAATGTTATTGGAAATAAAGTACGAAATAATGCGCAGAGCTTGGTTTTATATGTGTATGAGAAGTGTCACTGATACGTGGTGCCATAAGCAGCAAGGCTATTAATATGGCTATGAACAAGTGCATGGCAAAGTGAAAGGAGAGCAGGAGTAGATAGGCAATGTCTAGCTTTTATTAGGGCACCTTATCAGAACCACGTGTTACCGATAACTTGTTTATCTTGTTTTATCGGTAACACCTGGTTTTTTGGCTTTATATGTGCAAGCGAGGCAAAATAAAGCTTAGTTGCGAGTGCATCTCTTTCCTAACAACTTCTTTCTTATAATTTTGTACACGGCGCTACACCTGAAAATTCTGCAATGAAATATTGACTAGCCTGTATAGACACCCCTGTTCAGTTGCATCTGTTAAGTTGCACTGGTTAAACAGACTGATCATCCTGGTCCCTCCATTCTTAAAATAATAGAAATCTAGAGGATTAGGTTGGCAAGTATATGGACATGCAGGCATTTTGCTTTTATTATCTGCATGCCAAAATATTTATTGTTTTTGCCCTTATGTCCAGGCCAAGATGCCTTTTGATGCCAATAAACTCTACTGCAGTGAAATTCTCTCTATCTTGCTTCAGAATCATGAAGGTAAGAGTACTGTTTTTTTTTCTGTTACTTAAGTTTGATATATTCAATCTCGTTTCTCTCATTTCCTCCTGAGCCTAATGGCAGCATTTTTTTATGGAAATGAAGTGCAAAACTCCTCAAGTACGTAAGATTTATGTGCATGGGGTACTTCAAAGAAGCCTAATTCGTCAGAATCAACCTAGAATGCTCCACTACAACATCATAATTAGTACATGGTGTTTAAAGTAGAATCCTAGATTTGAAATTGTTCCATTTTATGGGTGTGTGAATATCTCAAATTTTTAATGCAAATCGAATACGAATACATAGCTTCAAATACGAATCGATGCCCCGCCGCGGTGGTCTAGTGGCTAAGGTACTCGGCTGCTGACCCGCAGGTCGCGGGTTCGAATCCCGGCTGCGGGGGCTGCATTTCGGATGGAGGCGGAAATGTTGTAGGCCCTTGTGCTCAGATTTGGGTGCACGTTAAAGAACCCCAGGTGGTCGAAATTTCTGGAGCCCTTCACTACGGCGTGTCTCATAATCATATGGTGGTTTTGGGACGTTAAACTCCACATATCAATCAAATCAAATAGGAATCGAATAATGAAGTGCAATTTTTTTCCACTTGTAACCTTTACTCAATCATATATTTATGTTGGAGACAGTACAGTTGTTACTATAGTCTGTTATTGCACACAAAAATAAAAAATGTCACCATCTGTACTTGCTAGAAAGCATAAAACTGTAATAGTTTAGCTTGTGACCGTGTCGTCTTGGTTTCAATCCACATGTTGAACAAATCTTTTGTATCTTTTATTTTTATGTGGTAGCAGTTTATTACACACACAAAAAAGACAAGCCTTCGTACTCGCCATGATGACTAGTGAGCGTGAGGCCACTGGTTTGATTGTGTAACAGGTAACACCCGTTTACTTAAGTCCAAGCTATTATTAAAGCAGCCTAGGCGATCACAATTTTTCCAGGTTCCCACACTATCAGTTTTGGCTCGAAATACCCCGATTTTATAATTTTCTTTTTAATTTCCTCCCCTGTTCTCACCGATCAAGCCACTAAGAGAAATAGGAGTACTTGGGGCATTTTTCGACTACACAGCAATACTCATTGTCTCGCTTGCTTCTACTGCCTTTCTCGAAGACTGCATGCTTGCTATTTTCCGATCATCATAGCTGCACGATTGTGACTGAGACGTACCTGGCGCGCAGCGACAACGCAAGTAAGCACACAAGAAAGATGATTACTGATGTGTGATAGAAAGACGCCCCAAATAAGTCTTTTTGTTAACAGAGCCACAACTCTTGGTGGCGAGAGCACTATTTTGCCGCATCTATCCCGTTTCGGCACACTGGCTGCCTGCGGAAGTAAACTGATGTTGGCAAAATAGCGAGATCGCAACAACAGTATAACAAAGGGTTGATTACAGGAGATGTTGCCGCGGGAGCGCGATGTGCCTACGACGGATTTTCAAAGGCGCTGTTGGGAACGGAGCAGAACTACGCATTAATCCGTTCGTCACCTTATGTGCACCGCCATGAGCAACGAAGAATTATATGTGATGACGCCATTGTAATGTTACCGAAAGTGCATGGCCTTTTCTATGTTGGCCATTGCGCAGAAAAACACTTTAGCTCTTTGCATCACCATATCCGCTACCATGAAATCATTCCGAAACTATGTACAGAGTATACATGCTGAAGTAGCGGCACAGCTAACGGACGACTTGTCAGGCTTCGACATGTGTGCGTATGTTCGTACGGCGATCCACGCATTAACTATATGCTATGTTGCCGAGTTCAAAGTCGTGCAAGTCACTGATGCTATTCGCAGGTTGCTCCGCAGACGTATTAGAAAAGGCATGCATCTTAAATACACTCGTACTCCTAATCAAATTATTTACTTCGAAAGTATTCACAGCTAATTTGTAATTACTGTTTGCATTGAAAAATTGTCCGCCTTGGTGGATCAGTGGTTGGGGCACTCGGCTGCAGACCCGGAGGTCGCGGGTTCGACCTCTGCCATGGCGGTTGCATTTCGATGGAGGCGAAATGGTAAAGGCCCGTCTACTGTGCGATGTCAGTGCACATTGAGAACACCAGATGGTCAAAATTTCCAGAGCCCTCTACTACGGGGTCTCTAATAATCATATTGTGGTTTTGGGACGTAAAACTCCACATACAAAATTAATTGCATTGAAAAACAAACAGCTGGGTAAGGCAAAGTACACTCAAACCTTATTATAATAAAGTTGCATTTTACTCTAAAATAAGTTCATTGTATCCAAAAATTATGAAGACATGTTCCCAACACTATATTGTGAAACTATTTTGTTATATCTGGGTTCATTGTATCGGGTGTTAAGTGTACTGGCAGTTGTTTGCACTGTTTTATTTGTTTGTTTACAGAGAACAAGAAGCTTCTTGGGGAAATTGATGGCATTGACACATTACTGCAACAGTTGTCTGTGAGTTTGTGCCTCCTTTTCCCCCTGTTTGAGCTCAGAAGCCTAATACCCTTGTCACACGTGGCAATTTAAGTGCACTTTGCCGTGAGTGTCATTTGCACGCTGTCACACGAGAAAGTTTGGTGTCACTCACTGCAAGACGAAGAGCATAGCCTCGGTACCAGTGGCTTGCACAGAAATACACTGTTGCCTAACACGGCTCTCATACTACAGTGTACTCTCAGTAAACGGAAATCTGTTAAACAGAACAACTGCCTCTCCTATGTTTGGTTTCGGGCGTGTATTCTGCACCCATGCTCACCTCTCAGTAAACGGAACTCCTACTAAATGGAACATATTTTCCCTGTCCCTTCAGGTTCCGTTTAATGAGAGTCTACTGTATTTGTAAACCACTGTTTTTGTTATAAGGAATATTGCTATGTATTAAAACAAATCATCATACTACAAAAACCTTGCTACTCTCACCCTTCGGCAGTTTGCAGCCACATCCGCTAGGAGGATGCGTCCGTCACACTGTTTACTGCAGGCACATTTGCACATGTGTAGGTGAGTCATTCTCTCGTCATGTGCGATGACGTGTGTCACTGCTGCTATTTCTACGAAGACAACATGGTTCGACGATGAGACATGGTGCAAAAATAACAAATATATGTTGCGCTGCAAATCCCCCAATTGCCATTGCCATCATTTCTATAGTATACTTCGCTTTCTCGTGTAGCAGCGAACCGGTAAAATGAAACTTCGTGAACGCAAGTACGCAAGTACACTCTCTCAAAGTGCACTTCGGTTGCCAAGTGTGACAGCAATATGACTCTAGTCTGCGTTTTTGTTTCACCACTTACTTTTTTAAATGTCTCTTAATAAGTTCACAAATTGTTTATTTACATTTTTATTGAAATAGTTTCAGTCTCTTCCCATGTACTATTGTGCTCTGTTTTGCTTGCATGATACACGAAGTTTTATTGGTCGCAATACTAAGTATGAAAAACTTTTCTGAGAGATCATGGCCCAAGATGTCTTGAATACCAACACTAAGAACTTCTATACACCTTATTAAAATATTTGCCCTTATCTTCACATAGATATGTCTATGTTCTGAATTTACACATTATGGTCTTATTGCAGGGAATAGCACCTATGGCTTCTGCATTTTAGAACCGCATCTCCTTCTAGATGTTTTTCTCATTGCTATCGCTTTTTTAAGCAACACAAAGCACTATCTCATGAGTCAAATATACTGATTTTTTGTACATTCCTCATGATCCGGATGTCTGCGAGGTGCTGTCGTGCACTGCACTGAACCATTGTACAACGGACAACTCCAACAACGAATGCTGATATATTTTTCCATGTGATATCTTAGACATCTTGTTGCGATTGCAAGTCAGGAGCGACATTAAGGGGGGACACGAGTCTTAGAAGGCCAAAAATCGCGAAAAAATCGGCTTTTTGAAGCTGATATTTTCGGAATCTGTACCTATTTTTGCACCTATCTGAGAAGTTTCTAGCTTTTCGCGTCATTATTTCTGGCACAAAATCAATTTATAACATCCCTGTGAGATGAATGTGAGCGCAAACTGATGCTAAAATTGCACTTTTTCTACGCCGAACTGTTGCCGTTATACACGAGCTATCGGGTTCATCTTGGTCTCGTTTGGAAGGGTCGTTCTTCATCTTCAATTTCCCGTCACCGCTGGCTCGCCTTGCTCATTGGTTCTTTAGCAAAAACGTGTTATCGAGAAACACTAGCGCGCGATTCAATTGGCTGCTTGGGGCACGTGACAAAACCTAGGCATCCGATTGGCCAAGGGGCGCTTTTGGCGTCTGCTTCACCATCGTGATGCGCGCTGACATGTGCCATTTTGTCATAGTGCTACTGACTGCAGTAAAGAAGTTCCGCGCTACAGTAATTTCTGAAGCGAGTGTGGCAGTCGTTCGTTCGCTGTGAACTTCAGAAAGAGCCCCGCTATGGCTCAGGACAACGAGGATAACGAACTCCACGTGGTCATCGGCAGTCGCCGAGCCACCGATGTAGGCCTAACTCACGTACGAGCCCGTTGGTTGCCGACAACGTTACTGAGAACGGCTGTGTTTTGCAGCCTCATAAGTTAGAAGATGGCAAGTAAAAAACAAGCGAAGCTACAAGAGATATCAATCTTTGTAGTGACGGAACGGAAGCGCAGTCTTATCGCTAAACATGGGATGCCGTGGTTCCTCCCGCCTGACGAAAGGACCTTGAACTGCGCGACGTGTCGTCAGAGTGGAGTACGCCACACGTCGACGAACTACAGAAAGTCAATCTGTTCGCGGTGAAAATGCTCGCCACCCCCGCAATAGAGGCTACTGGCAACTGGTAGACTGCTTTTAACGACGTGTTCACAACGTTGTCGCGATCTCCGCTCGAAAATGCGGCAGTCTTGCGTAAAAAGGAAACTAGCACCTCGGCACTCGCGTAGCCTCGAAATTGATGAGTGAGGGAGCAACTTTGGTTCGCGACATTTACGGGTGACTCATTCTGGACAAGCCGGAAAATATCGCCGTGTTATTCGACGTATCGCAGATGACGCAGGCACATTTGTCGCACGTCGCCGTCAGTAAAGTTACCGAATGATAAATGGTCTCGCGGCAGACGAGCACACGGCGACAACTTGCTACAGAACTAGAAGAAGCTACACGCTCGTCCAAACAATCAGTCCTATTACATTCCCGGTGCATATTAACTGACTAAAAGTATGTGTGCCATGTCATTTTTTCCCTCGGAACGGCAAAATAAATTTTTAACAGCATTATTCTTGAAGCACAGATTTTGACCACTTTCTTTTGCTTGTTCGGTAAAAGTGGACCTAGGGCAGCTAGAACTGTAATTGTTTTCGTACAATTTAGCTAAATGTGCACAGAAAACAATGCTGGAAGCCTATTTTTAATGGGCAGCTTCATTTTTTTATTTTCATATAAAAATTTCTGTATTTGGTTACATGCAATGAACTGTGCTGTAATGGAATGCAATGAACTGCACTGTAATTCGAGAAGTACTCGTTCAATTTTCAATCAGCTTGCAGCGTTGCACTCCTTAGGCTTTCTAGCATTCATTATATGTCAATGGCCATGTAACTCTAACTACATACATTTTTACAGTTCAAAATGTTAGAATTCTATGTTTTCTTCATTTTCTCAAAATGGCAATTTTGCACACCCTGCATGAAAATTACTGCAATATATCGGAAACTATTACAGATAGCAGAATATTTTTTTTTTTTTGCAGCATGAAGCTATATGTTTGGAGCACATAACATAGGAAGCACATTTTGATTTATCTTCATGCAAGTTTTTTAAACTAGTCTTTTGTGTGACTACACAATGGCCACATTCAGAGTTGTGAAGTTTTGTGTAAAGTAAGAAATAATGCCCCAATCAAAAAAGTGCTTCCTATGTTGTATGTCTTATGCTTTTTACTGTCAGTCTCTATGTCATTTATAAATTTTTGACTGGTGGTTATTTTTCCATTGTGGTAAGAACAATAGAAATTGTTATCTAGATTATTCAATTAACTAATGAAACTACACAAAAAAATCACTACATTTTTAGAATCAGGAAAACAAACTAAGTAAGCATGCCAACTTTTGTCACATTTGGTTCTTAAAATTAATGAGAGAGCCCTAAGACCCATGTCTCCCCTTAATTGGAGCTGTCACTGTCTAAAGTTTTAATTATCTTTCTCCCTCAAACTAGGGCTCTCTTATGACTGGTGTAGTTTTTCATGTGGTTCTGCTCACTGCTATGTTGCAACGTTCCACACTTACTGCCAAGCATCCTGATGCAGCATTTTTTTATGTCGAGGATTCACTACTGTCAGCATTGATGCCAACTCTGCCTTTATCATCTTTGTAAATGGCTTGAAGCATGGAATGCACAGCAAGGGCTTGAGTAACAGTGCATAATGTTTTGCACCTCTGCAATGCTCTGCATTCAAGCATATGCAGTGTGTTGTAGTAAGCATACCTAAAGCAGAAAGAGGCCGTTGTCATGGGGACAATAATTGTTTGTTGATTTTACAACTCTCGTTACAGTGCCGCCCGCTATCTCTTGTTACAGTACTAGCGTAAAGCCACCTAATACAGTTGATAAGACACTCTGATGTAATACACAAATGGGTATAAGATAAACCACTGGTGCCCACATTCATATAGTGGTTGAAAAGAAAATGCATATGTGGTACCCTGCTTATAAGAGACACCTCATACAAAGGGGTTTAACTAGAAGTTTAATGGCAGGCCTCAAGAGCTATTTCATATGCAGCTATTGTGATTTAGGCTGTTGAGAGGAGATGCTACTCGAAAAAAGGTTTCTTTAGTCTATTGCCTAGAGAAATGAAACATTTGCTGATTACACAGGTTTTTAGGCTGATTTCAAAAATGTGTTCAGTTTTATGGTAGGTTGCATAGTTCTTGTTTTGTACCACGACAATGTGTAAAATACATGTATAGCCCTTTTTGCACACTCTTCTTCTGCCACTGAACTCTTGTGTTTATCAACCATGCATAACTCGTATTGCTCTGCAGTAACTGTAGAATGCAAATAACTAATGAGAAAAAGTGTATAAAAATTTTAATGAACAAGAAAAATAGTAATGTGAGAAGTCTTAAAATGCTCAGCCTATACTAATTGCGTACTTCAGGTTCATAATAATTATATAAGGGATAACATATTTAATGGTTGCACTGTTTTCATGGTAAGAAACATGTGGAAAAAATTTTATTGCCATCTTATCAGAAGCACCAAAAACATGATGTCTAATCTCGAGAAGTTGCCTACGATTGCATCTTGACAAAAATGCATATACAGTCGTACCCCTTTATAAGAGACATGAGTGCCTACCGTAAAATAAGAGTTGATAAGAAGATGCACACGAGGTACCATGCTTCTAAGAGACATCTCATATAAAATACAAGCATCGCTGCCCAGAGCACGTTATAAAGGGGTACAACTGTCTAATGTAGAAATAAAATGTCATCTATGTGGCAAAGATGTGCTTTTTGAAATGATTTTTTTTTTCAATCATGAGTCCTTGAAAGCCACTGTTATTTTGAGCACGTGGCTTTGGTGAACTCTTCACGCGAAATGCAATGGCAACCAGCCAGGTGACCATTTCCAGGTCACTTCAGGTAATGAACTCTTCTTAGTTTTTAGTAACCAATTTGTGCTTTTTAAAATATATTTTAACTTAGTGCAAGTTAAAGTATTATCCTTTTTTCTTTGTTGTTGCGTCTCTCATAATCATATGGTGGTTTTGGCACGTTAAACCCCACATATCAATCAATTTGTTGTTGTTGTTGTGGTCAAGAAAGTAGAGAAAAGAAACTTGTGCAAGCAAGTAAAAAATGTAATTGTAAGAAACATGTTTTTTGAGTAGCATGTTTGAGTAGCAGATAAAGGGGTACTGACAGAAAACTTGACTGCCGAGATAGCCTTTCCTATCGATTCTGGGGAACAGGCGTATATCATCTGCAAAATAATAACAGTGAATATAGCTTTTAAGGTATTTTAAATTAATTTTGATGTTTGATGTGTGAGTGATCGACTTCATCGTGCTATTGACACCCTTAAAGGGGACCTCACCTGACCACGCTATAGCAAGTTATGACGACATCATAGCCGCCATTTTTCTTACGTAGCGTTTCCTCCAGCAGACTATTACTCGGCAGCTGCTCGCGAGTCCGTGGCAGTGGCACACGAGTTGACAAGTTGAAAGTTTCGTGTTGGGTGTTATTGCTGTCCAGTTTCCTCTTCTAAAAATCTTCTTGATGTGAACCGTGCAGAAGTGCGTCACAGTTATGTGTGCTGACATGGTCGAGCATTGCACCTGCTAGGTGGTAATATTTGCACCTGGTGGCTTGCTGTTTGTGAAACCCAAACTAACACTGATCAGTAATAATGAGACTGTAAATAATTATCCACCATGCACTGCAGAAAACGATGTGTTCTGTTATGATAACAGGCCGCCAGAAACACATTGCAGCAATAAAAAAAAAATTTAAGGCCGAAATTTTTTTGTCAGTACTTCTTAAGAGCAGTAGGAAAGCATGTACCCTTTTTACAATTTCGATATCACTGTGAAGTCTCAAAAATCTGACTTTTTCAATAATTTCTTGTTTATTGGTGAATGTATAATCAAAACGTGATCATTCAGCTTCAAAGGCATTGTGCGTACCTTAAGCTATCAGTGCTCTGTATGTGCTTGGATTTATTTCTTTATTTTATTTTTTGTGTGATAACTTATTATCCACATTTGCTGAGGATGTTGCTCATAATGGTAGTAAAATGTTGTGAGAAAGTTTCCACGAAGTTATCAAGGAGAAGTTGAAGAGGATGAAGAGCATGTGCACCATTTGCTAGGTTCTTTACTCAGGCAGTGCGAATGGCAGTGCGAATGGCAGTGCAAGCAGGCTAGTCAATGGCTAGCCTGCTTTCTCTGCTGTTTGCTAGGCTCTTGGTCCGGATCAATTTGAATAATAAAGAAACCCAGGTGGTTGAAATTTTTAGAGCTCTTCACTACGGCGTCTCATAACCATATGGTGGTTTTGGGACGTTAAACCCCACATACCAATCATATCAGTCAATGTATCAATCAGCACAGTCACAATTTCAGGTTCAAACTACGGACCAGGATAAATTTTCTATGAACCAGAACGCTTTTCGTTGAGAAAAACTGTAGATTTTCCAGTAGCTTTGTGCCACAAACGAATAGATGCCAATTTTCTCTCTCATGGCCCTTCTAGCACTTTTTGGTATTATACAGAACTGATTTACCAGATAACTAATGCTATGTTGTATCATGATTTTTTTAGTTTTCTTGTTTTCTACTTCATAAAACGCGCCTTGTGCTGGCAACAGTGGTTGAAAAACAAATATAACCACGCTTAACAGGGTCAATGCAGCACTTTCGCTATAGTTCACTATATTTTTACTTGGCGCTGTGCTAAGTTTCTTGACTGTTGGATCAGGTCGTGTTCCTACGTTGAAGGCGTAAGGTCTACGGACTGCCTCATTATCATCAACATAGAGGATTTCACTGCCAAACAGCAGAAATAGTTGTGCTGTGTGTTCAAACATTGAGCCTTTTTGGCAAACTGGATGAGATTTATTTCAACCCAGCGAGCCCGAGGTTGATAAAGGCAACTGCTCATGTATAGCGGGCCTCTTCGAAAGGTGCAAGCACTTGTGAAATGTGTTGCTGCAGTGCCACAGGTACGGTCCCAGCAGTTTTCAAGGTAACTCTGCGCTGGGACTTGTGTTGCCGATTGCATGTATCTTATTGAGTTCCGTTATCCCGTCATAAGCTGAACATGCATGCTGTTCACTTTATTACAGAACGGAGCTATGCCTGGGTCAGTGTATCTTGAGATAAATCAAATCATTGTTTTAATTGTAACAGGAGTGTCTCTCTCTTTTCGTTTGCCAATCCATGTTATTAGGTTTTTAATAAATAAGGTTGTGTGCTCCCGAACACTCGCTTGTTCGCGTTGACAGTATTATATTATAAAGCAGATATATGCATTCACTCTACTTATGCATGAACATTATATATACATGCACAATATGTACATGCGAACTTACAGGGTGGTTGAACCCCACCCTGCCCACAAAAGATACGACCGTGGTGACAGTATTAATAAATATAAAAACTCAGAACTAATCAGTGTAAATTAATTTTTAGTTAACTCATTTAGGTACTAGAAATTAGCAATCGGTTATTCAGTGGATTGGTGATAATTGCATCACTCAGAAACAAGCCTATTCCAACGAGTTGCACTGCACTGTATCGAAAAGGAACAAAATGATGCACCCGTGAGTCAAACGATCCAAAAGCTGGAGCAATCTCTGTTTGCAGTTCCTCTTAAACTTATTGCAAGCTGACTAACCTAAACTGTTAGAGCACCATGTTTAATGAGAACGAAGTACCGTCTGTAGACACTGGAGAGCATTCTCAGGCATAAACACCATACGTTTCTCCATAATCAATATATTTCATGTTTTACTACTCCATGCGGAAGAAATGTACATCAGTGACAGACGGAGCGAGACATTTTTTTTGGTGGCGAACACCCATGTTTTATGTATATTTGCGCATGCATTTGTGCACGTGAAATATACACACGCGAAATCAAATATTTTAGGGGGAAAGACTACAGCAGCTTAATTTGAGAATAGGTAGTACTATGACTTTGGCAAAAAACAAGCATATGTGAAAAATGCATTCTCACACATTATGCAACAAATCTTCTGACGCGCTTGCTTATATAAATGAAACTTTACTACTCGCTTAGAGATGTCTATGAATATTGATAAGAATGCACACACGCTAAGCAATGGTGTACACATCAAGGAGAATGAAGTCGTCGTGAATGAATTTATCCGAACAAACCACCATAGTGTCCGTGAACCTCTATTCAATGCATAAGTTTCTTATCCATGCTGTTCTCCATGGCGTGTCATCTGCGTTTTTCGGGAAGTGATAGAACGATACTTTGCCATCTTCCCACCGCGATGCCACGCGTTGCGGCAATTAGCGATAGTCTTTGGACACCGCTTTTTTTATTTTTAGGGCTCACACGTACAGCACAGGAAAAATAAAGGAATCATGCGTCCGCTTCTCAACACGCGCAGTGTGGTGGCATATTTCCTTTCAAGGTTGATCCTGTTAGCGCCCAGCCCAGGCGCGGCCGCTAGGTTGTGAGCGCTCATTTGGAATTGTGAATAGCCGAATAGTAGTAATCTTTTGAAATTAGGCATGAATAGCCAAATGGACTTTGTTACATCTTTATAATTCTTTATGTACATTTTGATTGCAGCAAGGTGGAGCTGTACTTGCACCTGCAACGATGAAGTTAATAGTAGTTTTCTTTTGTTTCAGCAGCATGTTGAGTGTAGTGTATGGCTTAGCATGTGCTTTTCTGTGTGGCTTGTTGTTGCAGTACTTCAAGAGGCATGACCCAAGCTCATCAGATGAGATGGAGATGATGGAAAATTTATTTGGTGCCCTCTGTTCAAGTCTTATGTGTTCACCTAACAGGGAGCACTTTCTCAAGGGTGAAGGCTTGCAGCTGATGAACTTAATGCTCAGGTGAGCTCTTATCAGTGCTGCGTTCTTGTGCGTGAAAATAAGTAAGAGTATTTGTTACAATTGTTCATGCTTAATGTTGTTAAACTAACCGTGTAGGGTGTGTATGTCAGGTGTCCTTGCATAGAAAGCACACTACTAGATCTGTGTCCAAGTGTAAGTATGCAACAAAAATTTTGCCTCCTTGTGCAGACTGCATCTCATCCTCTTTAGCATGTTCCTTTGCAAGTTAAGGCAAAAAAGCATATTTCAATCTTAAACACCTCGCTATTTTTCAACACCTCGCTACTTTTCAAACACCTCGCTACTTTTCAAATTAAACACCTCGCTACTTTTATTGTCAAAGTTCCATTTGATGGAAACTTGCATATGATTGTATTTTTCCTAGCAGGAAGCAGAAACGCAACATTTCTGCTTTCTACTGAGGAAAATACAAGGCGTGCTTTCAAGAGTATTGTAAAGCTCTAGGCACAGCGAAGAAGAAATGTTATTTGCAGGACTTGCCCTCACTTATCAAAAATAATCCAGAAAAAATTCTTCCAAATAATCTCTCCTTACAATAAATCTTTTGATCGCGTTACATTACATGCTGCTAAACAAACTCCTCTTTCTGATGAATCTTCCGCGATAGCCTTCAATGCATATTTGGCCTCAGTTTTTACAAAAGATTGTTCCAATGTGCCATTTGTCTCTGATCAGCCCTTCCCTTTCATGACTACCATCACCGTCACTGCAGCAGGTATCGGGAACCTCATCACGAAACTTAAAAGTCTCTACTTCATCAGGCATTGATAACATTAACTGTATATACTGAAGAACACCTCTGATATTTTCAATCACTTCCTGTGCCGTATCTTTAACCAGTCTCGGTCACGCGGTGAGTTGCCTAAAGACTACTATCGGCAAGGTAGTCTCCGTAATAAAGTCTGGTGACAGGCACTTGCCCCATAATTATCGACCCATTTCACTAATACTCATATCCTGCAAACGGCTTGAACATGTTATAGCTTTTCATATCTATGGTCACCTTGAATCGAATAACTTTTTTCCTAATCAACATGGCTTCAGGAAAGGCTACTCATGTGACACTCGGTTGTTCCAATTCACCATTGACCTTTGCTTTAATAGGAACAGTAACGATCATACCGATTGCCTGTTTCTTGATTTCATCAAAGCTTTTGATACTTTCCCTCATTGTTGTTTAATATCTAAATTGTCTTCTCTCTGTATTGATTTATTAAAGGGACACTAAAGGCAACTATTAAGTCGACCTTGATTGTTGAAATAGCAGTCCAGAAACCTCGTAGTGTTACTTTTGTGCCAAGGAAGGGCCTATTTTGAAATAAAATCACGTTTTAGTAATCCGCATCAAGTTAGCGCACTTAAAATTACCCGCCTCAAGAAGCGGACCGGCTGGACCGACTCACGACACTGTTGCCGAGCACAGCATTGCCCGGCTTTACTGCGCTAGTAGTAGCAGACAAAAAGCAGTGGAGCCACAGCAGCAACAACGGCCTTTGATCAATTTCCCGCCATTGGCTTCGAGATTGCAGACGCTTTTGTTTCAACTGCGCCCCGCTAGATGGCACCACCTGTTCCGTGTAACCACGGAAAAATTGAATTTTCGAACCACTCGCGTCATTCCCCATAGTAACGTCCGGCGGGTCTTTTTTCTATGAATCAAACAGAAATGAACAAGTAGCATTTTATTGCGTCTCTTGATGCACAGAAGTTCCTATATTTAGTGCAGCTAGATTGATTACTAGTGATTAATTGTAGGTGGTCTGACTGATGTCATCGGGATCATTTTGAGAATGTCATACTGCGACGTATACGTTCTTGTGCATTTACCTTAATTTCTCAGTAAGTAGAGCACTGTTGTTGATAATGTTGTCATTTTAGATGTTGTCATATATTGAGCTTTCACTCTGAAGCAAATTGTTATTTGACTTTAGTTTCCTTTTAACACTGTCTTGGATACGCAACTTCGTGTCATCCCATCAGCAATTTACGATGGTTAACGATACTTCATCTAGCATTTGCGATGTCAGGTCTGGTGTTCCCTAGGGCAATGTACTGGGTTCATTACTCCTTTAATATATATTAACGACTTGCCCGCTACCCTTTCATCCTTAGTTAGGTTGTTCGCGGATGATTGCGTCATCTACCGCAATATTCATTCTGTTGACGATCATTTTGCTCTCCAAAATGACCTTAATCTAACGTACAGGCGGTGCGAAGCTTGGCAGATGTCCTTTACGCCTCTAAATGCAAGTTAATCTAGTTCACTAGAAAGCGTACGATCTTATTCTTTCTCTATACTACATGTATTGATAATACTGTGTTTTCAGCCACACTATTATTCAAATATTTCGGTGTTCACCTTTTATCAGACTTATCATGGACTATGCGCATAGCAGCTGTCTCTTCAAAAGCCTCCCAGTCTCTCGGCTATCTGCGCAGAAACTTACGCAACACTCCTCCTAACATATGTGCATTATTATGTCTAACTTATGTTTGTCCACAATCGAAGTATGCATCATCCACATGGTCACTGCATCAAGATTACATTACCTAGTTCGTGCGTTAAAAGCCGTCCAGAGTAGGGCAGGGAGATTTGTAACTGGTAGCTACAACTATCATTCAAGTATAAACTTAAACAGGACCTTGCATTCATGTCACTGGATAAATGCCGTGTCATTGCCCTTTTATGTTTATTTCATAGGTACATCTACAGTAACGACTGCCACTGTTTGCCGCTTCATGTCTCTCTGCGCACATCTCGACACATTCACAACACACGTAGTTTCATGTGCATTCATGGTCACACACTGGCATTTAACTCATCATCATTACCTCGAGCCATAACAGATTGAAGCGGCCTTCTAGATCACATCACATCTCTAATTGTGAATCCTTTCGTGATAACCAGATTTCTTTGCGTTTTACTATTGTATAACTTTGTTGCACCTTGCTGTTTATTATTTGTTTGTTTTTTGCTTGTTTACTTGTTCTTTTTTTACTTTTGTCTATATTTTTTTGCAGTGTACATATTGATGCCCCCATTACTCAATGCCCTTTGGTGGGCCTGTAAGGCATTTTGAATAAATAAATAAATAAATGTTAATCACATTGAAATTAGTCCGTGTATTTCCTGTTTTCCCCAGTTATGCTTGCATATTGTGCATAGATGTTCATGCAGTATGAGCTGAGAGACCTTTCGCATGTTGCACTGAGTGCATGCACATCAAAACTTTCGCACATTTGTGTGTGCATTTGTGCTGTAATCTTTAATAACTTCTGAACCACCTAAATATGTGCAAGTACTGTCAACTGTTTGTGCATACCACTCCATTCGAATCTCATGCAATAACGTTTGTAGTCAACTCTTTGTGCAGTTTTGGTTAGTTTTAGAATGTGCATACTCACATTAACAGTTGGCTTCATTTCTAAATGATGAACTTCAGCTGTATCAGCTCCACAGAGATTTACTATTGATAATTAATTAGAGTAATTGATGCTAAAATAAAGGCTTCTCAAAGTTATTGGTATATAGTGACAAGTACTTCTGTTTTTCAATGTAGATATCTATTATTATTTGCTGCTTGTCGTGGTCAATGAAGCGCAAACCTGAGTTTTGAAGAAGCATGGTTCTTACACTGGACTTACAAGGGTGGTCTGATAAGTACTTAGCTTTCAAAAGAAAAACGAAAATCTTGGTGTTGTGTCGATTTATTTCTAATCATAGTCCCCTTTCAACTGTAGTCGCGAAGTAGGCTTCTGTGGCAACGATAACTTCTTCATTAAACTCAAATTTTTGTCCGGGGAGTGACTTTTTCTAGTTAGGAAATAAAAAGAAATAACTGGAGGCCAAATCTGGACAATATGCTTGATGGAGCATCACTTCGTAGCCCAGTTCGTTCGACCAACTTGACCGCGGCGACGGCGCAGGTGTGAGCTGGCTTGTTGCCATGGTGGAAGAGCACCTTCCTTCACCAAGTGTGGCAGTTTTTTTTTTTGTTTGTTTTTTGTGATTCGGCGTCGAGTCAATTCAGTAATTCGGTGTAGTAGGGTCCTGTCATCGTTTTGCCCTTTTCAAGGTAGTCAATGAAAATCAAACCTTGAGAATCCCAGAAAATTGTGACTGTCACCTCTCCGGCCGATGCGACTGTCTTCGCCTTCTTCGGAGCAGGTTCCCCAGGTGCAGTATGGTCTCTGGTATGTACCAGTGGATCTATGCTTCGTCAACGGTCACAAAATGATGCAGGAACTTCTTCGAATCACGCTTAAACAGCTTCAAACACTGCTCTGAATTGGTGTCATGGCTGGTCTTTACGGAGTCGGCAAACATGGCACCCATTGCGCAGACAGCTTTCTCATACCCAAAATTTCATGCAGGATATGACCCACGTGATCTTTTACAGTTACAGTAAAAGCTGTTACGAGATCACAATGCAGGTTACGTGTGGTGCTGTAGTTGTCCATTGCCACTGCTGTTCATTACCACTATCGCACGAAAACAAAACAAAAACTCAAGTAAATAAAAAAACACCAAAAATACACTAGGGATCGAACGCGGGTTCGCTGTATGCCAGCTCAGTATTCTACCACATAGCCACGCTGGTACTTGGGACTTGTTCGCAAACTTGCTTTAGGCAGGTTTGATGTCGGGAATGGACTCGCGTTATTATGAGTAATCAAGTGTTTCAAAACAGCAAGGGAACAACCAGGCGTAACACGATGCGAATAGCATAAAGTCCAATGCTCCGACCCATTACAAAAGCTTGTTCTTGATCTCCTATTAACTGTGGTGCATACCCACTCAGCCCTAATTGCTCATTGTCATCAGCCACTGCATGAACAATTGGCACAAAATTCCTTGCATGTGTTTAGCGGATACCACGCGTCTCAGAAAAATGACGAAAGATAGCATAGTGAATGCCAGCCTAGTACCCAGAAATTATGGTTAATAATGGCGTAGTGTGTACCTAGCAAGTGTGCTTGTAGCCGTTATACCCAAAGAGTGTTTAGAAAAGGCTCTGAAAGGCCGCTCTTCTAGCTTTCGCTGTGACTGTGCTGGGCCTCCCATGCAGGCCTGGTGTTTTTTAGATGCCTACTGTCTCAGCTATATCACGCACCTTCAGTAAGCAGTCTGCCAGTATGAGATTGTGGATTTTTGCCACGTTATCGGCCGTGGTAGCTGTTTGCGGGGCCCCTGGGCGAGGCTCATCGAAAAACCGACTTGCGACCACGCTTAAACTCCTTGAACCAATTTTTGACTGTTGCCATTGAAGGAGAAGACTCACTGTAGACAGCATCCAGTTACTCTTTAATTTCGTTGTGCGATTTTCCTTCCAAAAACCACAATCGAGTCACAGACCGATATTGCTATCTTTCCATTGTTTAGCGGACACACAAAAATTGTCTGCTTTCTCAGGTGGCCAAAACAAAACCACGAGCCCGATTCGTCTGGACCTTTGCGTGTGTCCCTCTAAGAGAGCATATTCAACGTCAGTATATCTCTCATGCGATAGCATTGCGCTCTCACAGTGAGGCTAAGTACTTGTCCGACCACTCTCGTAGGTGTCAACACACCCATCTGGCTTGTCTTCCTGATTGTATGGACAGGTTCATAAATCTCTTGATAAAATACCTCAAAGAATCCAATGGTGGAACAATTGGTACATGTCTGGATATATACGAAGTCCCACTATGTCGTTTATGTGTCTTCCCTTGATTTTTTTTTTTTTTTTTTTTGCACTGTGCATACTTAGTATATATAAAAACTGCCTGAGTCTGATTTCGAGGGAAACGGGGTAAAGAAAGATTAATCAATTCAAGTCATGCAACAGACCCACATCATGATGGCCATCACAAGTCATGTAGTTAGCTGAAGTTGTGTTTAAATCCAAGCCATTTGAATGCGCAGTTTATATAAGCATATCATATGTTTCACAACATGGATGAAAAAATAAACTGCGAGAGCATGATGTCATGCAGGCTGCCCTAGTAAATGAAGGCTTCATGAAATCTCATTGACAGCTCAATGGAACAAGTCTGAGATGCAGTACATTGGCCAAGAATGTTTGCGCATCTACATGAGCTACTGTAGCTTTGCCTGCACTGAACCTACGCTTCGATCTAAGTGTCGCAAGTTGAGCTGATTCTTTTTTTTTTTTTTTCATGTGTGTAGTGTGATGCTCTCTCTGCAGTTCTCCTTCCTCCATGTTGTGCATGCAGGCTAGTAGTCCTGATAGCTAAGTGGCACCACGGGAAGCATACATGGCTTGATTTGTTTATCATGCACCGCTTTCATACCGAGCCATCGTAGCTCTCGCGTGATACCTGCCACTGCGTTGCGCAGTGTTAATCACGGGAAGTGCTGGTTACACTTGTGTTAGTGGCCTCCGAGAGCTTCACCTGATTTTATTATACTTTTGCGAACATGAAATCAGCCACTGGCTCGGTCATTCCCTTTAACCACATTGGGTGTCAAGAAGAGAGAAAGCTATTTTTAGCTGCCTGTGAAAAAAAGTTGCAAATTCTTTGTTGCATATAATGCTATACAGTAGACCCTCGGTAAACATAAATCTGTTTAATGAAACTGCTGCTTTAATGGAACAAGTTCTTCTGACAAGATTGGTTTCATTCTTGCATTCTGGACCCCCAGACATCTCTTTGTAAATGCAGGTCCTGTTAAATGGAACATATTTTAGTGGTCCCTTCAGGTTACATTTAATGAAAGTTTTCCGTATCTGGCTCACATGTTCATTAAAGCCTCGACTACTGATCAGCAGTGTTTTCTGAGCCTGTCCAAAAAATGCTGCAGAGCCTCTTTGATTTGACCACTTGAGATTAAGGCAAATATCGTAGGCTAGGTCTATCGCAGGCTCCACCTGGAGAAAGAAATAAATAAGTCGGAAAAAAAAAATTCATGGTACAAAAACTATAAATGAAATCAATGTTTTCAAGCTATTCACTACATAGTGCAAAGAGCCCAGCAACTTCACAACTACCAAGATAATGAGACCTTTATACTTGTTTGTCATCAACACTAAATGGGCACAGTAGGGCGTGCGGAACCCAAGGGGAAGGTTGTTGTGCTACAGTAAAGCTGTATATTTCTTTTGTGTGACACTTACATCAGCCCCTGTCTCTGGTTACTCATTTTATCTTCTTTCCTTTCTTTTTCTCTTTTTAGAGAAAAGAAGATGTCACGTAGTGGTGCACTAAAGGTTTTAGACTTTGCCACATGTAATGTGGAAGGCACTGACAACTGCAACAAGTTTGTTGATATTTTGGGCCTTCGGACAATATTCCCACTATTTATGCAGACCCCTAGAAAGTATAAGAAAAAGGGAGCATCTCCTGAAGAACATGAAGGTGAAATGACTGATTACTATATATTTCTAGTATTAGACCCTACAGTGGTGTGAAAGCTTGAATTAGTGCTCAGTTACTTATTAGAGGGAGATAAATGTCTAGCTCACTGAAATGGGCAAATTTAGTGTCACGTTCGCAGAGCCCACTTTGCCTTGCATTACTATATCATTATTGTGCGGCATGGTGCTAAATGACAAAAACAACGTACGTTGCGATTGATCACAGCGATCATCTCTCAAGCTTCTAGTTTTATCATGATTCACAGCATTTTGTTTCTTGTAAACAAGTACTGTTTCCTGTTTTGCTTTTGTTTTTTCATATGAAATTAAATATCTATGTTTTTAAAAGAGCATTGGCATAAAAGATAAAAATAGGTAATCGGGGAATGAAGTGAGCCTATTCTCCTTTAGCCAGCATGGCCATGGCAGCCGCTTAGCTCTCCACCTGGCTAAGCATGTGGACATATCCTGGCTTGCAGGTATGTAGACTGGTCGAAGATAGCTGGTTATTTTGTGTCTTTAAAAGCATGTTAACGTATTAAGTAATCCAATTTTTACTCCAATATAAATGGGCAGTAAAACTATGTATTTGCCTTTGTGTAGTTGTGTAATACATTCTTGTTGATATTGTTACGCGTAACTTATTTATTAAACTATGTGCGGTGCACAAAGCTCGGTAAACAAGATGGCGCCAGTTCGTCAACAACAAGCAACAACTGTCGTCGTCCTTCTCTTTTATACAGCGGCTGTTTTGTATTATAACTCCCCGACGGTAGAAGCACCGTCTCGGTGCTTCAGCTACTCGCATGCATTGGAAGGTGGGCGATACTGCTGGAGTCAAGCTTTGCGCACAATGTCCCTCGAAGCTGACGATGATGACGTTGGATCGGCTGGAACGATCTCATATGTAACGTCAGTCACCTGATGAACGATGCAGTACGGTCCAGTGTAGCGTGACAGCAGTTCTTCAGAAAGACCTGCACGCCGAGTGGGGGACCAGAGAAGGACAAGGGAACCCGGTGAAAAATGTACGTTCCGATGATGGGAATCGTAGAGCTGTCTTTGGTGCTCTTTTGAGGCCCGTAGACGGCTGTGGGCGAGTTGGCGTGCGTGCTCGCTTTGCCGTCATATTCAGTGACCAAGGGCGGCAAGGTGTCAAAGAGTAGGGCGGGTTCTCGGCCGTATAGGAGATAGTATTGCGAATCGCTGGCAGTGTCGTGACGCGACGAATTATATGCGAATGTCACAAATGGCAAATGGACGTCCAAGTCCTGGTGGTTGGCCGCTACGTATTTAGAAAGCATGTCAGTTATAGTCCTGTTGAGACGCTTCGTAAGACCATTCATTTGCGGATGGTATGAAGTGGCATACTTGTGCTTGGCAGAGCAAGAGTGCAGGATTTCGTCAACGACAGCTGGCAGAAAAGTTCGGCCCCGGTCAGTGAGGAGTAGGTGAGGAGCTCCGTGTACTAAAATATCGTATATCAGAAAGTCCGCCACATCGGTTGCGCAGCTCGTTCGAAGTGCTCGTGTGATAGCGTACTGTGTCGCATAGTCAGTGGCGACAGCAATCCATTTGTTGCCTGAGCTGGAGATTGGGAATGGGCCAAGTAGGTCGAGGCCAACATGAAAAAAAAAGTTCAGTGGGAATGTCGATCGGCTGAAGGAATCCAGCTGGCAGAGAAGATGGCTTTTTACGGCGCTGGCAGGGCTCACAAGCGGCCATGTAGCGCCGAACAGAACGGGCAAGACCAGGCCAAACGAAATGACAACGTACAGTGTCATATGTGTGAGAAACGCCCAAGTGGCCAGCCAAAGGAGCGTCATGAAGTCGGTTGAGGACAGTCGCACGAAGATGTGCTGGTATGACGGGGGGTGTAGGTCATGGCCATATGGATTGAAGTTACAGCGATAAAGGATCTCATCTTTGAACAGGAACATTTGTAGAGATGCGTCGTGAGGCATTAATTCAAGCTTTTCAATGATGGCTCGCAGAGAAGCATCCCGGCGTTGTTCGTGGCCAAGGTTGAGTAGCTGCGTCACGGACAGAAAGTCTGGAAAGGTGTCAGTATGGGCGGCTTCTTCCACAGGGTAGCGAGATAAACAATCCGCATCTTTATGCAACCGCCCTGTTTTGTACATTACAGTGAATGTGTATTCTTGTAAACGTAGGGCCCAACGAGCGAGGCGTCCTGTGGTATCCTTGAGTGAGCCCAGCCAGCAAAGCGCGTAGTGATTGGTGACTACTCGGAATGGACGCCCGTATAAGTATGGGCGAAACTTGGCAACTGCCCACACAAGAGAGAGGCACTCATGCTTCATGATTACATAGTTGCTCTCTGCGGTAGATAGCAGTCGGCTTGCATATGCTATAACACGGTCATGTCCGTGTTGGCGCTGCAATAGCATTGCTCCTATGCCGTGTCCACTAGCGTCAGTGCGAACCTCGGTTGAAGCTGATGAATCAAAATGAGCTAAAATCACTGGTGTTGTAAAGACGGTCATCAGCTGGGAAAAAGATGAGGCTTGATCAGCGCCCCAGGAAAATGGGGCATTCTTCTTCAGGAGGTTTGTCAGCGAGTGTGCAATGATTGCGAAGTCCTTAACAAAGCGTCAGAAATAGGAGCACAATCCCACAAAACTGCTAACATTCTTTTTAGACTTTGGAATAGGAAAGTCTGTGACGGAGCGAATTTTCTCGGGATCTGGGCGGACTCCTGCGGCATCGACGAGGTGGACAAGTACGGTTATTTGACGATAAGCGAAGTGGCATTTCGAAAAGTTCAATTGAAGTCCGGCTCGACGAAATACTTCCACAGATATACGATCGAGATGGGAGTCAAATGTGGGCGAGAAAATGATAACATCGTCTAAATAACATAAGCAGGTTGACCATTTGAACCCTTGGAGCAATGAGTCAATCATTCTTTCGACCGTGGCCGGCGCATTACAGGGACTGAACGGCATAACTTTGAAATGATAAAAACCATCAAGAGTGACGAATGCGGTTTTCTCACAGTCCATCTCATCAACAGCAATCTGCCAATAGCCAAGTCGAAGGTCGATTGTGGAAAAATACGTAGCATCGTAAAGGCAGTTTAAGGCATCATCGATTCTAGACAACAGGTAAATATCTTTCTTCATAATTTTGCTGGGATGCCAATAATCTACACAAAAGCACCACATTCCATCCTTCTTTCTGATCAGGACGACAGGAGAAGCCCAGGGGCTACACGAGGGCTCAATTATGTCTTTTGCAAGCATCCTTTTGACTTCCTGTTGTATGACTGTACGCTCTGACGCGGAAACACGGTATGGGTGTCGGTGAATCGGACTTGCATCACCAGTATTGATGCGATGAGTAACAACACTAGTGCGGCTTAAGGTCGTGCTGGCGAAGTCGAAAATGTCACGATAGGACTCCAGGATGTGATGGAGAGCTTCCGCTTGATCAGTAGTGAGGTCTGATGGTACCATGCGGTCAACGTCGATGCCCGATAAACATGATATAGTTGGATCACGGTCTGAGCTGCAGCAATTATCCACTTCGAAAGGCTCAACCACATGTTCTTGTAGGGCAGTAATTTCAGCCAGGGAAAGAATTTGGGCAATGAGTGCAAATTTGACAATAGGAAGACGTGCGGTTTGCAACAATTGTCAAAATCATGTGCGGAACAGCGGCGCCTTGCGTAAGCATCACGGCATGAATTGGTGCAACCATGTAATCGCCGTCAGGTACAGGTGACATAGAGGAGAGGTCAATGGGTGTAACACAGTTAGGTGGAAGGCGTACGAAATCGATGCAGCAAATGCGGCTTTGGGGTGGGTCGGTCGGATCAGAAAGTAGAGGCATCTCAAGGTCGAGACAGCCGGCTGAACAGTCTATAAGGACAGAGTGAGAAGTTAGAAAGTTCATACCTAGAATTAGATCATGAGGGCAATTTTCGGTAACGGTGAAAAGAACAGCAATGCTTCTATCGGCTATAGTCACAAGGGCAGAGCACATGCCAATAATGGCGGCAGTTCCCCGTCGGTGACTCGAACGGCTCTGTTCAAGGCGGGTGTGACAACTTTCTTTAGTCGACGACGAAGAGCAGCACTCATAATGGACACATGCGCACCGTTATCGATCAACGCGCGCACAGGTACATTGTCTAAAGTAACATTCAAAAGATTCTGGGTGGTCGGTAATGTTACACGAGGATTTCTTGCAGAGGTTGTCATCAATGCAGCTCCACCTCCAGAAGCTGCACTGCCAAGTTTTTCGGTCGGGGGCGCTGCGAATAGGTTGGAGAGGCAGGACGGGGCTGTGGTGGTGAACGAGATTAACGGCGTTGCGAGGGATGGTGAGCGGGCGTAGCGAGGTTTCGTCAGAGCTGCGGCAGAATCAGAGAATGTGGTCGGCATAGGGGAATCGAAATCAAATGCTGAGGACGATCGGTGGACAGAAGTGGCCTTGGGGGGAGGCCCATAGTATGCCGGCAGAGTCCAGCGATTGCGGCAGTTGAAGCATATGGGCTTGTCATCCAGTGTACGCCATTCGGACAAATTCTGTTGTCGAGAGTAGCTGGAACCAAAGAGAGGAGCGGAGGGACGACGATAAAAAGGCTTGGCAGAGCAGACTGGTTGAACAGGATGTAGGTCGACGTCCGATAATTCTTGACGAACGACGGCTTGTATCGGTGAGATCGTGGTCGGTGAAGGATCAGGCGTTGGTAGTGGAGTGACTACTGGTTGGGCTGCCCCAACCTCACGACGTATGATGCGGGTGAGGTTGTCACATCGGGGAACTTGTTGGAAGGCGTCATCGCATGAGAAAGTAGCCGCTGTGTTCGGCAGGCACGTGATGCCGTGAGTGACGCGGCGGGCTTTAGCCTGTTCTAGATGGGGGCATTCTCTCAGTATCGTGTTGACGCTCGTGACATTATTAAAAACCAGCAGGCTGAAGGCATCGTCAGCTATTCCTTTGAAGACGTGATTAACTTTCTCGTCTTTCGACATGCGCTGGTCAACCTTGCTACAAAGCACCAAAACGTCAAGAATGTATGACACGTACGACTCAGTAGACATCTGGGCGCGAGTGGCGAGAGTCTTCTTGCAGCGAGCTGACGACCAGATGAATAGCCAAAAAGATCACGGATCTTTGTTTTGAAAAGATCCCAGCTCATGATTTCGGCTTTATTTGTTTCTAACCATGTCCGCAGCGTGCCGTCGAGGTGGAACAGAACATTCGCGAGCATGAGCGTGCGATCTCAGCGGTGGGTAGCACTGACGCGCTCGTACCGGTGCAGCCAGGAGTCAACATCAATGGTACCGTCAACGGAGAAAGTGCCAGAATCTCGAAGGGGTGGCAGGGTGACGTAGGTTGTCAACTCGGCTGGAGAGGCCGGTGGTAATGAGGTACTGGCAGTTGAAGTAGCCGAAGAGTCCCCGGTGTTGCGACCGCTGCGCGTCTCCATCGAGGTACAGGAGTCGTCCGCCTCCACCAATAATGTTACGCATTACTTATTTATTAAACTATGTGCGATGCACAGAGCTCGGCAAACAAGATGGCACCAGTTGATCAACAACCAGCAACAACTGTCGTTGTCTTTCTCTTTCATGCAGCAAGGCTGCTGCGGCTGTTCGGTATCAATATCAATCCTCCACTTTTCAAGTTAAACAGCGTCATACGTGTTTAAAAAAAAGCACTCTTTCGGGGCCACCAAAGCAATGTGCCACATTTAAGTTACATATTACATCAGCCTGTCATACCTTTCTACACTTATGGTTGTGAAATTCTTGATTATGGTAGAGGAAATATTCATTCCCTGTGCATGTACGCTCCTAAAATTTCAGAATGCCCTTCAGCTTTTCCAAGTATCTCGCCATTATCCGTTTTGTAACATGATAAAATCTCTGAAAAAATTACATGACCAAGTTTCAGAAATGTTTAGGGGCTTTGGGATGACTTATTCTACATGTGCAGAGCCAGAAAAAAAGTGCCCAAAAGTGATTTGTCACTGGCTAGAAATTACAGGACACTGTCCCACATTCAAAAAAAAAAAAAATGGAGGGACCCTTAAGCTTTGCCATTAAGAGTTGAACGCGATAGTGAAATCCGGCCCCTAGTGCACCCTTCAACCGCTGAGTACATACTTATTCATGTCTTGTTACATACACATGTACACACACAAACATGCACACAGTAAATTGGATCAGCACGTGCTATTATCGTCGAATGGGCTCGTTTTCGTTGTGACACCTGTTGAACAAAATGCGTTAAAGGGGCCTTGAAACACTTTTAAGTAACCATGGAATGAATTCACTAGAAGAGCTTATTGCCTCACAAATTCAACGCCGCAAAAATTTTAAGAATCCGTCCAGTGCGAGTGGAGTTGCAAAGGTTTGTCACGTGCTGCAATTGCATTTTCCCTTCTGTCGTCCAGACAAAAGCGCTGCAAGCTAAGCAGGGAGTGGTGGCAGGGCAAAGAAACTACAGTGCCTCGTGACCTCAAGCACTTTCTTTTCTTCGAATGTGCGGCTTTTTCAGTGTGATCGCGCGCACACGCTTGGACAAGTTACCGAGATAGCCTCCCGCAGCTATTTCGCTAACTTGATTTTTCGGTCACAGACGCACAGACGATTTTTCGCTCACAACAAACGGGGCCGACGCCGGCGGCGGGTTTTCTGCGACACGAGCTCTTTAACGCTATCGCGTTAAAAGCTGTCTGTTGCGGTCTCATCTTACACTCAATAGAATTTCACTGAAATTGCATGGCTTTGTTCTAAAAGCATTGATGAAACGTTTCGACCACTTGTTCAACCCTGGTGACCAGAGACATGGCTAGAAGCAGGATAGACTGCAAGACACCTTCCATTTTCTAAAACGGTGTCCACTGCCTTCACTTCTTTTTTTTTTAAAACCTTTTTTTATATTATTTTTGTGCACAAAGAGACAACGACAAGAAAGAGAGACACACGAGCACTCGTATGTCTCTATCTTTTTTTGTCCTTGTCTTCTCTGGGCACTAAAAAAAGTTTAAAGTATGGTTACATACCAACTCGTCCAGCTATCAGTTTTACTGCCATCCACATCTTGTATGTTGTCAGAGCACACGTATTGACCACTGAAATAGTCATGGAAATATGGTAGGGATAACAGTGTGTAGGCGTCATGTATGAAGTGAGGGCCACCTATCAAGTTAAATGGCCTGTCACAACCTGCAGCCATAAAAGTGGTAAATACAAACAGGAAGGGCTGGGTGCCGCATCATTATAGGTTTCTAACACTAGCTTTATTGTGACCTTTTGGAATTCTTTGTGCAAGCCGGTTATAATACGTTATACTCACAGAACTTCATTGGCAATTGAACACTATTGCCATCAGTGAGTTTAAGAGCACAAAGCCAAAGTAAATAAATGTCATTTAGGTACAGCTACAGCTGCTTTTGTGATACATAATGCCTGCTTCGAGTGCGTGTTCATCCACTCTGATGACCCATGTGCAGTCTGGTAGATGGTAATTGTAATAAGATATGCAAAAGTATTCTATGAACAATTGCTAAATATATGCTTAGCACTGCATTAGTACTAAAAACAATTTCATGCACTTGCGTGGACGTTATTTGTAGTCATGCATTTGAAAAAAGTTTCCAGTGTTTTTTCAACTCTTTGGAGTCACTATGTGTGACAATGTAACTTCTGTATTGCACACAAAGAAATGGTGGCCTGTATGAATTTCATTCAACAAGAATTCTTCTGGTTTTTTTTTTTTAAATCCTTGAAATCTAACAGTTTCCATCTTGCTATGTAACAGCAAATACGAATACAGAAATTAAGAAGTGAAGATAATAGGCAGGAATAATGATATTCTCTGCCTGTTGAACTGGCTGTTACATTATCTTCATTGCTCAGTAGCAGTTCCCATCAAACTGCTATGCCTTCATTGAATTTAGTGCTTTCTAATTTCATGAATATATTTTGAATTGACCTCACATTAGTCGAGTAGCCTAATGGCCTTTCTAACCTCAGGGGCCAAAACTGTGCAGTGTGTTTGTCCATCTTTGTGCACAGAATGGAGCTTTATAGAGTTTGTCCAAGCCATTAGCACAAGCAAACTTGAAATAATGTAAGTTGATCAACTATAGTTGGATTTATGTCTTCAAGCAGCATGTTTTTCAGTGTCCTTCAGCAATTCTTTGTTTTTTTGTTTTGTTTTTTCAGAGCATGTGTGTTCTGTGATTTCATCTATGCTAAAAAACTGTAAGGCCACTCAGCGGCAGCGTCTTTTGAACAAGTTTACAGAAAATGACCATGAGAAGGTAAACAGTGGCTTGCTACATTTTTTTTTCTTACACTACGTTCATGTGTGTGGCTTTGTTTCATTAAGTGATGATGGTTTTCAGCTATCTTTGCTTAATGACTGTAATGATACATGGCTTTTTTTATGCGTCATAGGGGAGAATCGTGCACATGTCATCATGTCTTTTAGCGAAATGATATCTAGGTCTTAAAGAGACTGTCTACCGTCCTTCATTGCTCTCCTGTTTTATGTCGCTATAAAAAGTGTACCATGTAAAGAGTCTAACCTTGCAGCAGTTTCTCTGGAAAGTGCGTAGAATTTTTTAAAACAGAATTTTTCTGTGCGCGTTATGTTTCCTTCTATGAATGGGATTAATTCCCACAACACTGATCGACGCCGCTGAAAGTCAAAAACTGAAACCGCGTGCGGTTTTTGCAGGCTTCAACAAGTTTGGTTATTAATAAAACAAATACCTCAGTGGTCATTTTAAACATGCACACACTTTTGTGTTGTTCTCATGAGGGGCGGCAGACGCCGTGGTCGCGTTTCTCAGCCGTTTGCAGGCAGGTATGCAGGTAAGCGAACACACCACCGGCAGCACCACCGAGCGCCTATTTGAACGCGTGATAAAAAAAAAGGGAAAAATTGATCTCGGGCACAATACAAAGCTGCCTCAAGTGGATAAAATACAAATTCAAGTTAAACGTCTTTGTTTTTAAGCAATATAAGTCTACCTGCGACGATTTTTCGTCCTACCAATAGATTGTCGACCACATTCACTGTTGGGTGATGCTAGTGGTCACTTTTTTATCGACTCAACATCAAGTTATGATTCTTTTTTTCTGGCACGAAAGCATGCTTGTTGCCACCGATGTGATGAAAGATCTTTTCATTGGCGCCACAGTCGGAAAAATTTTTTCGAGCGGTAGACAGTTTCTTTAAGCATTCAGGTTCTAACTGTAGACTCTGCATTTGTTGTTTTTGCATCACATGCAGTATTTCACTTGAGCAGCACACATTTCATGCAGTTTGCATCAGGGGTGCAGCCATAAATTTTGTAGCGTCTACTTCGCCGAGCCAATTTCGTGTGGCACTGGTCTGCGCATGCGCAATGATACTCCGCCACCGCCGTGCACGGCCCGCCGCCAGTGTGCGCGTTATTCGATGCACTGCGCAGGCGATCAGTGGTGTCACGCGCCGGAGCTGGCACCTCCCTCGCACTCGGCCGCGGCCGCGCGCGAATCGCCGTCTTCGATGTGCGCTTTCCAGAGGATTACCGTCATAGCCTTGGTAGACATATTGACGCTGACGCGCGCGCCTTCCCTGTGAAGTCGCCATCTGACACTGCGCTGGAGCCGCTTGATAGCGCCTCTGACTGGCGTTTGCCACTGTAGTATAGCCGTGGAGAAAAAGAGTGCAAATGCTGCTCAACGGTGCAGTAGAGCGGAGAAACTTAACTCATCGGATCCCGAAGTAGTTGCCTGACAAAATAAATATACGTGTGTCATTGCAGCAGCAGTAAGCATGATAATCAAGCTAATCCTAGACACTCTGGAAAGCTAAGAATAATCAGCTGAACCTTTGCCAATGCTACGTATATCCTGACATAGCTGAGCTAAGCCACTGCCATTTTTTTTTGGTGGTGGGGGGGGGGGAGCATCTTCCTAATTTCGGGGATGGCACCCCCATTGAAATGGTCTTTTTTTGCTGTCATGGCAAAAAAAAAAATCGAGGACAGGGGGTGCACGGGCCACCCTCTGGTTACACCCCAGGTTTGGATGCATCTACAGTTGAACCTCAATATGTGTACTAGTAAGGTATTAAAATTCTTATAATTTTACGTCTATAAGAAGCCATGCGTATTTCCATATAACCAAGGTGATAAGTTGAAACCACTATTAGCAGCTGTGATTAAATTGCTGAATTTCATGTAGTCAGAACCCAATACTACTGGGGTTACTGTTGTCATGTGGCAAGTGACAAGCATGAATATGTGGCCATAACGACATGAGTCCTTTCACTTGTTCTGCACTGCCTTGCCTGAATCATTCAAACCCCAAGCAAATGTAAAAAAGGTTTTTATGGATATGGCACTACAGTTAGGAGATCTCGGGTTCGCAGAGCTGTTTCTTTTTTGTTTCCTTCTAGTTTGCCAAGGCGCCTCCGTACTGAAGCAATTCTTTTTAGTATGCCAGTAGTGTAACCTTCGAATCGAGCTTTAGACAACATTTTTTTTTCTAATAGTGTCCCTTTAAGAAAGGTCACTTGCATTTCATTTTTCTGCCCATGATGTTTGTTTTCTTATAATTATTGTTAGCCTATTTTATGTACATTGCAGAATGAAAGTCTCTGTCGATTATTTTAAACATGCCCTGTCCTGTGCGAGCCTATTCCATTTTATTCCTGAAATTTTCCGAATTTCATCGTATAACCGCCTGCTGTCATTGGCTATCTTCCCATCTCTTGGTATTCAATGCATCACTCTACCCATAAAATATCTGTCCTTCACATAATGTGAAGGAATATAACGGGTACCCCTGTTCATTATTTGATGCACCCTGGTGTCTTCTTATCTCTTAATTTCACACTTATCGTCTTCCATTTCATCGCACACTGCATGGTTCTTATAGAGGCCATGCAACACTTTTTAAAATAATCATCGAAAGGCTTTATTAAAAGAGCTTATTGCCTCATGAATTGACTGCCACAAAATATGTTTAGAATCCATCAAGTACAATTGTAGTTCGCTCAATTAGTCGCGCACTTCAAGCACTTTCTCTCCCTTTTTGTACCAGCGAGCATTCTGAAATTTACGCGGGGAGGGGAATGACAGTGGGGCCAGCAGATCCATTCTTCGGCAGCATGCATCATGGCCTTAAGCAATTTTTTTTTCTTCAAGTGCACAACTTTCAGTGTGATTACGAGCATGTGGTGGCATCTCATGGTGGCCGCAGTAACTATGCAGCTCGCAATGCTCAAATCAGCCAATGGTCGTGGACTGTGGGTTTACGGCGTGGTCATTTGGGTTTATGGCATCATTTATAGAAAAGAGGGAGCAATGTCTAGCAGAGTTTAAGAAATAATTAATCACAAATTCTAGGCCACATGCTGCACTGTTCTCGGGAGCCTCGACTACCAATTTGCAGCGTTGCCTCACCATGCTGAAACAGTGTTGCAGGACCCCTTTAAATTGCCTTGGGTGTCTTTGTTAATTTCCTATTTCTTACCTAATATGTTAGTACCATTGTAGAATATGGCACAAAAAATGGAAACAAGGACCACACATACACAGCATAAGCTACTCTTCTGAAGTGCGTCACTAATTCTCGTTTGTACCATTGTTGAATATGGTGCAAAAAATAAAGGCAAGAACCACAGGTACACAGCACAAGGCACTCTTGTGAAGTTCATCACTAATTCTCTGGGCTCTTTTTCAAATGGTCCTTTCCTCGTCTCTGTTTTTTGTGCCAATTCCGACGATAATGTAGAACCAACCTGCCCACCGAGGTACCCTCTCATGTCAGTACTCACAGTATACAACGTTCATACACCTTCTGGTTTAGTGTCAGTAGTAAATTGCTGGTTACAAATTGGAAATGTCTACAATATGTGCACCATCCTATTTTTTTCTTCAGGGAATTTTTTATTTCCTTTACATGAGTAGATTCTCCTGTTAGTAATCAGCGCAGATATACACCTTGATACACATCTTTGATGTCTACATTCAAGTGCTAATAGGGTCACCAAATATATTTCAGGTGGACAGGCTCATGGAGCTGCACTTCAAATATTTGGAAAAAGTACATGCGATTGACAGTATAATTGAACGTGAAAAGGAAGTGAGTATATGACTTTAAAATTATGAATGATTAAAAATGATCATCCAAGTTTCATTGCATGTACCTGTGCTTGTTTATTTGAATCACTGTAGCAGTGATCCTCCAGTAGTAATTACATAGTGAATGTGGTGCTGATTATAATTATATGTATTTGTGACTGTTTATTGTGAAACATTGTTTTTTTTTTGAAGGCATATACCTACATTCCCTGCTTTATTCTTGTTTGCCAATTAGTAAATTAAGCAAACTGTATATCCACTCTATGAAAACCCTTAGTGATAGTTGCAATATTCATAAATGAAATAATGGTCAAGACAGGAGCATAGCCTTGCCATGATAAACAAGTACAGACTTGTCTCTTGGACACTCTGCAAAAGAAAAAAACATGGTGTGCCCATGTGCTTGTGCACACACAATCCTGTAGGGGGGGTGAGGCAAATATAAACCCTGAGGTTTAAAATTTTTGATGGATAGGTAAATGCCCACTTCTGCATTGTGAAAATGCTGCTGCAAAAATTTTGCAAATCAGTGCTGCGACAAGAAAGTTACAAAGGATAGAACTATGTACGTACCCTTATGGCCACTTGGGCTGGTTTCGGTTCGTCGCTCAGCCTCTCCACCCTTCACCGCTCAGAAGTTTAGGCATAGCCCATTGTTTACGAGAACAAAAGCTGGGCTAATTTGTAAGAATGCATGTTAAAGCAAGTATTGCAAAGGAACTACAACACAAGTGACAAACATGTACACAAGATGCGTACTCGTCTCGTGTTCATGTTCCTTGCTTGTGTTGTCGTTCTGTGCTACATGCTTTAACATAAAACTACATAACACGATGTCAGAAGTTATGTCATTGGTGCACAGCAATCAACCTAGCTAGGCTTCTTCATTCTCGTGCTGATAATGTCAGTTATGTGTTAAGGTCCCTTATTAGTACTCGCAGGCAGCGTGGTGCGAGAATAGTGAGGTACATTGATGCAGCGCCTCCTCTATTTTATTAAATCCAGCCAGGTGTGCCCAATCCAGCCGTTCACCACCCTCTCCTCTTGCTCTTTCCTGCTCTCGTCCATCGCCTAGCCTTCGCTTGTGCTTTGCGGTCATGGAGGAGAGAACCACTCATTCAGTGCCTCACGACAGAATTCATATGAAGTAATTTTTTGTTCAGTTGTGTACAGATCCGTAGGGTGGCGTCTTTCATTCCCCGTGTTCACAATATTGGCGGTCACGTGGGCTCTGTAAAAGATATGGTGTTCAGAGATAGCATGTTGCCGTTCATGGCGCTATGCAGACAGCCAATGGGAAAGCATCACTGCAACAATAGTGCATGCGCTCCGCTGTGATGCAATGGTGGCATTGCTTCGAGCTACAAAGAAAGAGCACAAAGGAACTGTTGAGGAACGAGAGACGAGACGACGGTGACGAGGCCGTGCCGTTATCGCAGCTTTTATTAGGGACGTGGGCGTAGACAGGATCGCAGCTGCAGCATCCAGCCAGGCCAGGAGCTAGGCACTTCTCTCCAGCGCGTGGCTCACACCTCACTTACCACAAGGCTGACTTCCTCTTTAGCGTGGCCGGCAACCAAGACTGGCGCAACGCTGCATCAGCTTCCCTCCCCTAGCACTTTGCGCGATTTTAAACATGTAGAAAAAAAATCAAGAGGGACAGACACTATGTACATGAGCGGCAGTCCATGGTTTATCTGTGTGGAAGTCCGAGTTGTTTCCGTGAAAAATTTTGGGCATCCGAAAGTTCTAGCAGGTGACACTGGGAGCCAAGGAGTGGGCGAGGTGCATGCCGAGCAGATGTTGTAGCCGGAAGCGACGCAACCCATCGAGGTCCTTTTGGCCGCAGGCACCGGCAACACCATCGGTTGTTATTTAGATAACATCTCAGTGAGGATGATGCTGAGTGTGCGGATGCCTCGTGAGGGTAGGTGTCGCAAGTGTTGCATGATCGTCGTAGGCATGAGCGGCGCTGAGAAATTGACGCTGTTTGCATGAGGTACGGGCATGAACATGCTGGTCGATTGTCCCTGGAACGGCATGCCGTAAGACAAGCTCTGCAATGCACACTGTGATATCCGATGGGTTGTAGAGGTAGTGGCAGGCAGGCACTTTGAATAAGATGGCCTGGTGGCAGGAGCTCGTAATGCAGCTGGATGGTACCGACGCTGGCATATCTCTGTCGCCTGAACTTGAGCAGTACTCGTGATAATGACTGCGTTATTGAAATTCACGTGGGGAGTGCTGATTTGGCTCAAGTTCCTTCGCGCTGTCTTCAGAGGCGTTAGGCAGCAAGTCATGCATCGCCGAAGGCTCAAGCTGTACCAGGGCATGGTGCGACGTGTGTGTGGGTACGGAACCACCTTGTGCAGCCGGCACAGGAGTACTTGGGTGCGGAGACTGCATGCAGACCATACGCTTGCATAGCCGGTGGGTTACAATCGGGTTACTTTGCGGTAGCTTTGCTGCTGGCCTAGAAGACGGCAGCTGGTTCGGTTATGGTGCCGCACGTAGTGTCAGCGAACAGGTGACGCCGGTTTGGGTGTCGCACACTGCTTCAGTAGGCGCTGAAGTCTTAAGTCTTCGTGCTCACTGACGCGTCCACAGGTGCCGACTGCTCAACCAAAGGCCGATCTTCGGGCGGCATACGCTGCGATACGTCAGCGGAGTCGATTGTGGTAAGAAGGTCACCTCCCTCATTGCTGTGGTGCTGCGCTTGACAAGATGCGGTCAAGGCAAACTGTGAAAAAAGCTGGATCGCGGTTGGTAGCGAAGTGCCTTCCGTTCGGTCAGTACCTTTCGGAGGTGCTGTTCGGCACCGCAAAACTGTAGGACGGTGTCCCGTAGTTCGTCATATGGGCGGGAGCCCCAAGAGAAATAGATGAGGCGTTGTTTGAGGTCAGGTTGAAGAACATACTCCAAGACCTCACACATGAATTCTTGGAGCCAGATGCTGTTAAGAGCTCCAAGGCAGCCTCGAACTCTTAGAACTGTGACTCAATGCCGGAGGTCCGGAACAGTGGTAGAGGTGGGTCAAAGTGTGGCTGCAAGGCTTGAGTTGGCTGGAACATGGCCGCAAAGCTCAGAGGCAGCGGTGCAGTGCTGATCACTTGTCCGTTGGTTCGTGGTCATTAAATGTTGAGGAACGAGAGGCGATACGGCGGTGATGGCGATGAGGCCGTTCCTTGGTCGCAGCTTTTAGTTGGAATGCGGGCGTAGATGTGGTCGCAGCTGCAGCGTCCAGTCAGGCCAGGAGCTAGGCTGTTCTCTCCAGCGCATGGCTCGCATCTTACGTGCCACGTGGCAGACTTTTTCTTTAGCACAACAGTCGGCCAAGACTGGCATGACGCTACAGAACAAATCTGACAGACATAGGATATTGGAGTGGATCTATCGCATCTCTTGAGGGAAGCGTTCGGAAGCACGTGTGATGCAAGCAGTGCTACCTACCTCTAATGCAACGTCGCATCACGACCAATCACTGCCTGAACCAAGGCGGACCGACGGCTCCCGTTGAGAACTGTGCGTTTGCACTGGCATTGAAAGAAATAAAGGAGGCATTAATTGACAAGACAAACATTGCGATGTTATTGTTTTACTCGTGCAATGTTGACAATCTACAAGAAGTAAGTTGTCAACTTATGAACAATGAAAGCAATTTGGATTACATCATTGTACTATTAGCTAGTGCGAGATAAAACTGCTGATGTCAGTGATGGTGACCATAGATCATTAAAGAAGATTGCACTCAAGAGATGTTGTGAAGATAAATGAATAGCTGCATGTTTTGTTTAGATGTGATATAACACTGACATTGTTTACTTTCTCTAACTTTATGTGAAATTTTGCTGTTCCCTCTTGTTATAGCCCAGGTAGCCAAACAGTATCCAGAAAAATACAAGTAAAACATTGGCTATAACAAAGATATTTTCATATTGGATCTAACTGCTTAACAAAGCTTGACTTCACCTCATTGCGAGTGAAAAAAAAAAGAAAATGTTGATCAGACACAGCTTGAAGCAGTCAAAGTAAATTGTATAACTTTGATTTCTCAATTCTTCAGTCTATGAGGATTTTGTTATCCTGCTGAAACTATCATAACCACCCCTACTTTTCATTCCTACATTTACCCTCCCGTAAAACTTAATGCAGTGGTTTTGGCCTGCTCGTTGTACTACTAGTTTTCAAATTCTGTGAGATCATCCGATAACGTCATTCCCTGACTATCAGAATCCCAAGTTGAATGAAGAGGAGGATCAGTCAGACCTAGAAGAGAAGTTCTACCTCCGTAGACTAGATGCTGGCCTCTTCACCCTACAGCTGGTAGATTACATCATGCTGGACATCTGCAGCTCAGGACCACCGTCTGTGAGTATACTGTTTATCTGAGATTAAACTGTGTTCCAAAACTTGTTGTGAATAATTACTGCTGAGGCTGAATATTTAAGCATTTTAGAAGCAAATTTTATGTGCTAAAATAGGCAAGCAAAACATTTTAGCCCTCCATTATTGTACAAAGAAGCGAAAAACAGCGCAAAAACACAAGACAGTGAGAGAGATAGGCGAAGCATTGACTTACAAACGTAAACTAGTGCTTTGTCCATCTCTTTCACTGTCTTGTGTTTTCTTGCCGTTTCTCGCTTTGTTAATCATATACCAACCGGCCCAAATAAGCACTTTAGTGCCATCATTATAAATATGGGCAGAATAAATTTTTACATTCATGCAAATTATTTCAAACAAACGACATCTGCCACCTGTATCTACGTGAAGAAAACCAGAAATGTTGTTTATGTTGTTTTTGATGACAGGTGCCAGCAGGTGAACGTAGCTGCACAAGTATTTTTTGTCCCATATAGTTCGCAGAACACCATCTCTCCGTTTATTCTGTAGCATAGTGAGATGTGTCCACTGTCAATGCAGCACAGTCCTGATCTTTTCAGCAGGAACGAGGAGCGCAAAGCAGGAGTAGATAGCCCTGCTAAGAACGGAAAGGAGGGATGCTTCCTACTGGCTGGGTCGAGTCATGTAGAGCCAATTTCTCCCCTGGCAGTGAACACTTCAGAACGAGAAAAAAAAAAAAAGCTGCGTGCACATGGCATTGTTCTTTCTTATTGTGCACTTCACTCTCTTTTTCCCTGAACTGCTATTTCACATTAGTCAACTGCTCAAGCCATGTTAGCACGGCGGCGTATGTTTCCTGGGCATCCCACTTCACTGCTGCTAACAATTGTTATTGCAAGAGTTGGTCAACTAGGGGACTAGGCTGAACCCTTAAGAGTTTCAGATGGGCAAAGTTACTGAGTAACATGAATAACGATCTCAAACTGCACCTAAAAGTGAAACTTGAAGCTTTAGAGTGTCCCGACATAGGTGCCCATTTTCAAAATAGGCAAATATTCAGAAAAAAGTCAGAATAGGATTTTATAGACTCTTTAGATGTCTATTTTGTTTCTTGTGCTCCCATTGCTCTACTTTAATCTATGAGCATGAAGTAGAGATTAAGAAGAACATTTATAAAGTCCTTCTTAATCTCTAATTCATGCTCATAGATTAAAGGTAGAGCAATGGGAGCACAAGGAACAAAATAGGCATTTGCCTAAAATCTAGTCTCTAAATATAACATTGAAAGTAGGCTGCACATTCATAGAAAACAAGTATTTAAGGTCATGATGCACAAATGTAGCTTTTAAGAGAAAGTGCTTAGAACATGTGACAAACCCCTGTAACTCCACTCATACATTACATCATTAAATATTTTTGCTCTAGTAAATTCATGAGGCAATAAATTCAAATGGAGAGGTAATGTGATTGTTATTACTGGAAAAGTGCTGCTGGGCTGCTTTAAGGACCATTTTTGTGGGCTTGCTATCTTACAACAGTACATTTCAACATGATACATAGTTGAAGTTTATAGTTTTGATTGCGTAATCTGGAATATACTATGTTAAAACCTCTGATTGTTCTGATCCTAGTCAGCTAGCTGGCCCATATTATAACAGTTTTTTAAGTGAGCAATGTGTCATTATTGTAATTTATTTTTCTAGATTAAGCAGAGAGTACTGCAAATATTGAACCTGAGGGGAGGGTCTATCAAAACGATTAGAAATGTCATGAGAGGTAAGTGTCTATTGCGTTTCCAGTAGTTCAAGCTCTCTCTTTCTTTTTTTGAAAATCAGCACTACCTACCTATTGTTCACTGATGTTACTTTGCAAAAAGTGGTATTATATTAGTCAAACCATATAGAATTGTGGGATTTAACTGCTTCATTCACTTCATTGCTCATGGCCATTTTACTTTATGATAAAAATTTTTTCTGAAGGAGTTTTAAAAATGTAACATTGCACTTTTACTCGCTTTATAGCATTAGACACTTGCACCCTTGCTTAGTACGAACGAGCCACACTCAATATTGTTTGCACAGCATTATAAAAAGAAATCTCTATTTGGCTCGCAGTTATTACTGTATCAGTTTCATTCTCTTTGACTATGTCATTGTACATTCATTGCTGCAAAGTGAGATATGAAGAGAAAAAGCTATTGTTTTTGAAAATAGCAGAGAACTTAATTGCGGTAAAGATTCAAATATGCTAGCTAAGGATTTTAAAAAGAGAAAAGAAAGGGCTTGACTAATAGCATCTTAACTTAATGAATTTTCTTGCTACACAAATAACCCAACATGTTAATTGATTGTGTGTTATTTTTGCAGAATATGCAGGCAACCTTGGTGATGCTAAGGATGAATCCTTGAAAGAAGCAGAACAGCAGAGAATACTGCAGTTAGTGGACCGGTTCTGAAGTCTTGCATCTACATCGTCATGGAGCTTGTAAATAAACATCAAATGGCAAACGCACAAAAAAATTGCATCGCTTTTGTATTTGCCTGCCGTACAATTCAATACCAGATTAAAGATTTTCAGTGAAGAGAAAACAACATTGTGGCTGAACATTTTATTGATTAATATGAATACTAGAAGACTGCTTGAAGGTCTAGTTAATAGTGACTGCCTTTATATCTCTTCAGATAGGTCTAGCATAATGAATATTACACTGCTGTAACTGTTTGGAAACGGAGCAAAAATGTTCTATCCCAAAACCCACTACCGCAGAAAGAAGCCACAAAAACTGGACACTGTCGCAGATAACAGTATACAGGCCAGGAAGGAAGCAAAGCTTTCACACAAGCATACCGATTAACAGTATAAAATGTTTACCTATGCACCTAAAAACATGGCATAAGCAAACAGTGAAGATATATGCTCACAGCTACACTCAAACCTCATTATAACAAAGTAGCACCTTACAAAAACACAAGTTTGTTATAACACTATTGCAAGGGTATTTTTCATTTACTTCGTTATTACTAGCAGCCGGGTTTATAGGCACTAAAAAAAACTGTTTTAGGTGCCAAAGATAGGTGGGCAAAAACATTGCTCTAGGTCCCCAAAATCGTAAATATAGGCACAATAAACTGACAAAATTGAAAAAAAAAAGTTTCTAAAAAATACATGTGGAATCTTTATGACAGGAAAAGCAAACAAATGTTTTAGTTTATGAAGGTACAAAGGCGTGAATGGTTCAGCATAGTTATGAAATTTTTACTCTCGCAGGGCTTTCAGAATATGATCACTCCTTTTTTAGTCCATCGTGGCAAGTTAAGTGTCCACCGTCTAATAAACACGCTCCTGGGTCTTTTGTCATTTCGGCATGGCTGAGAAGGGCAACACAGGAGCAAAATAGCCAGAACGCTACGAGGCCAGAAGGGTATTTTTGCCTCGTATTAACTTGGTCTAACCGCCCCGCCGCGGTGGTCCAGTGGCTAAGGTACTCTGCTGCTGACTTGCAGGTCACGGGATCAAATCCCGGCTGTGGCGGCTGCATTTTTCGATGGAGGCGAAAATGCTGTAGGCCTGTGTGCTCAGATTTGGGTGCATGTTAAGGAACCCTAGGTGGTTGAAATTTCAGGAGCCCTCCACTATGGTGTCTCTCGTAATCGTGTAGTGGTTTTTGGACGTTAAACCCCACATATCAATCAATAACTTGGTCTAAGCACACCGGGTCAATTTTTCTTCTGTCAACACCTTCAGGGCCTATTACAAGGTTTTGAGAATTTATAGCACTCAATGGGAATGCATGCACTGGGAACTCACGATCTCATCTTCCAGGATTTGCAATGCTATGCAACCCAGAAAGAGGTAAAATGTCAAACTGAATGCTTGACCTGCATCTCACAGGCATGTGCCCCAACATGATGGAGGACGACGTATACAAGGAATGATTTTGTGTACGTCAAAGTAGTACGCGAAATTGAGAGAATTATTACAGGTAACATAAGTAATTTGTGCAATCTGTTGCCTATGAAGGTTGACAAAATATTAAAATATATAAACAGAATCTATGTGAATAATTCTTTTTAACTTCGTATCGAGCGAGACTCATTTTGTTTGTGTTGGTGTTCTTGCCATTCTCGCATCATGCTGGTACCAGCTTTCGCAATGCTCGGTGCGTCTTCGGTGCATTGTCCCAGAAGCAGTTCCAGCGGTGCAATGCTGTGTATCGTGGTAGGCATTCTTGATCCATGCCAGCCTCTCCAAACGTGTGCGCATAGAGAGATCCAACCCACAGAAACCGACAGTACAATACAGAGAATGCCATAACGACACAACACCGCTTGTGTGCTCAACCTGACATGGTCATGCCATGCGAATACAACCTTGCGTGCACATGACGTGTTGATGTTCCTGCGTCGTGTGATCTTCCGGCTCCGAGTTGATCCAATACTGAAGAGGGCACTGAAGAAATTTGGCTTGCAAAATCTACACCGGCCGAGTGGCAAAGGCTTCAAGCTCACATTCTCACATCATGCTTTCACGGCTTGTGATGACTCAATTAAAATTTTTAGTGGTACAAAGCTTTTGATTGGGCACGCAACAACTTCCAGTACGTAAGTAAAATTTCTCATATGACCTAGTGCAGCACCCATTAAAAAGTAAATGAGAAACAAAATAAAAACCATGTAAACATCTTTTTTTATCTACATTCTACTTTCTCCTGATGACACTCCACAGTTTCGCATACATTCTGCATCATCCTGCGGCTGCACAGAAGCACATCCTTGCTCCCTACGCATGTGAGAAAATGCCGGGGGGGGGGGACGCCGACTAGACGGCGCGATGCGGTCGAATACATGTGTAGAGGGTAATCGGCCTTTATATTAGCTAAGAGAATTTGTAGCCTTGACAGTGTAGGAAGGAACTTGTAAGATGGAGTATAGGTTGCACCCCATAGAGTTCCGAAAGCTCAAATATGCCTGTTAACATGAATAGAGGTCTACAACTGTACTCGAAAGCAAAATTTCAGGTTAAATAGCGTTCATATAGATGCCAATTCTCAAAATAGGCACTTATAGGCACTATAAAAACACTATTAAAGCTTTTCTTAACCTCTAATTCATGCTCACATATCAAGGCGGCCTGATAGGAATGCAAGAAACAAAATAGGCATTTGCCTATAATCTGGTCTCTAATTATAACCAATATTTCAATATAACGGTGTTCATTACAGTATTCAGGTTTGAGTGTATTGCTAACTATGAACCAAGGCCTCAATTTCCATGATGTTCATGCACAATGTTTCTAAAAGGACAATATTGGGCCCCTTTAATGAAACACAACTGCTGCAAAGGCAAAATATAAATAGTTTGAGACGAGCACTAGCATTTACTTTTTTGAAGCATTATGAAGGTGGTGTTTAAAGAACAGCAGCACAATAACATTATTTCAACGAAACATTTTGAACAAGTCTCAGACCTGTAGCAGTTACAATAGTTGCAGATAAAAGTGAGCTCAAATGCACTTGATTTATGTTGAATTTTAATAGCAGAGTCGGAGCAGCCGACGGACTTTGCACGCGAGCACCCGACTATGGTGTATAGCAACACCTACAGATCAATGATTGGAATATAATACATGCCGCTGTATGTGTTATAGTAATAGAGGGTCTATTTTTTGAATGGCAAGTTGCGCAGAGTACCTTGCATACATTATTCTCTTTGCTGCCAAATTATCTCGAATTCCCACTTGTGCGTGGCAGTTTCAGCGTCACTGTCACTATCTGATGAATCGCTTGTGCAGGAACATTTTTCTGACTCTAAGCTGTCGCTATTCGAAAGTGGAAGCAATTCCACCCAATTTGCAGATTCCTCCATGTCATCTGTACCACCAAAACAAGTGGCTAATGGCAGCGCCCCCACGCAGTCAAGTGTGTTAAAGGATATCAGGCCAAGTTCCGTCCACAGAGCCGATTTTGGCGGAGCGACTTTTCCTGCTCCACGGAGTGACTCTTGCTCTGACTTTCTCATTGGAACACACGTGTTCCAAATGAAGCAGAAAGATTTGCTCTGACTCCGTCATTGGAATTCAGCATTACACATTTGAACTTTAAGGGTACACTATACAAGTCATATTTAAAAATATATCTAAAATCGCTAAATAGTAAATATGACAGCGAGATTTAATGTTTACTGGCTAAAGTGTGGCATCGAAATACAGCCTACATTGATATGTTCTACTTGGTCAGGATACCGGGGCCAATGAGTTCATCCAATTTTGCCATGATGTTATCTGAGCAGTGCTCGCCCATATAGTCTGCACGGCCTTGCTCCCACGCCAGCATTCCCGACAAGTCATTAACAGTTTTGGGTTCCACACTGACTTCGGGTAGAATGTTGCAGTTGTCATCTACTGCTAAAGGCAAATACTTTGGTAGGTCTTTCTCTTTAGGTACTGTGCTTACACTCTGTGCAGCTGGAACAGAGGCACTATTTTTATCGGGTTCAACACCATGATCTGGATCCACTGCTCCCTCAGGAACTCCAGACTCTGTGCCAACAGCTACGGGGTCTGGAGGAGATGTCTCGAGAGTCGATTCAGGAGCAGTGCGCGGCCCTGGCGGGAGGTAGAGGATGGGCTTGGGGTGTGTACGAAGAGATGGTGCAGGAAGGTACGCCACTGGCTCAGCCACAAGGAACGATGGGAAGTGCTGCAGAATGTCCAGAGCACAAGTGTAGCGCTGCTCGTTGACCTTGTTCTGTATGGTCTGCAAGTATAGCCAATTGTCCCTCGCTGTCAGGTTTGAAATAGATGTGTTTTAACCCAACATTGTTGAATTTTACAGAAAACTAAGGAATAAGAAATTGCTTAATGACAATAGGAAGACCACACCACAAATACTTTTGGATGCTCATTAGTATTTAGATAATACATCACAACACAAAAATGGGTATTTATGAAACTGAACTGTGTTAGGCATTTGCAAATTTGTTAAATCTCATACTGATGTGCTTCGTATGATTATAAGCCATAGTGTGCAAGCCTGATATAGCTTGTGCCAGGATCAGAGAAACAATCTTATGTATGTAAATGTAAACTGCTCAATGATATTACGGACCGATAGTTCATATGCTCAGAAGGAAGCATAATAGAACCATTTCATTTTTGGTCGGCACTTTTTATGTTCCCTTACTGTATACTGCTTAGGCAAACAATACTCCTGCGTGTGTAGCATACAGAACAATTTTCTTCCTGTTCATTTTCACTCCATGTTAGTAATAGAAAACAATGAATGCATGATGAAAAAAAAAGAAAAAAGCATACAACAATTAACAGCCCTCCAAACAATGCATGAAAAGCAGTTGTGCTTACAAGTGTGAAAATGACGACTTGGTAAGAGCTTAAAACAAAATATAATAAGCGAGAACAGTTTCTTATTGCACATGATCATACTAACCAAAGAGAAGAGTGGAAGGACCCTCTTGACAAATATCTGAATCCAAAACTGAACAAACTGGGCATATGTTGGGTGTACACTGGCAGCAGGTGACAACGTGCCTGTGGGAGGATGGAATTTCACGTTCCATGGCTTGTATCCACCAAGGAACTGCACCACTTTGACATTACGACCAAACCTGTAATATGAAACACCAGCCCCAAATGAGTAATGCGAGACGTGAACAATGATTTTTAAAGAATACTCTTCCACAAATATAAGATTAAATATTAGAATGTAAACTCACTGCCTAAATGCAGGCTTGTAGGTGTAGCAGACATTTGCCATAAGATTGTAGATAAATGGCAATCTGCGATTTATGTCGGAAGACCAATTTCGAAAATAAGTATTTAACAAGCCTTGATCTCCGCCTGAAAAGGACACAGAAAAATGCAAATTATAGCATAAGTGCTTCAATTTCACTGCCAAAAATAAATTTTGTACATGCAAGTGACTTGGGAAAAAAAATTCTATTCAAGACAAAGGCATCACAATTACAACTGCAAAAGCAAGCACAAGCCCTGCATTTGAATATAAAATGATTAAAATATTTTAAATCCAATACGAATCTTTATATCCTTAATATTCACATTTGATTTGATTGATTAATCAGGTTGTAGGAATTTCATGAACATTGAAACAGTGCAGGTTGTAAAAAAGCTGAATTTTAAAAATTGACCCGTTTCTCACCATCAAAGCTGCCTTGGCGTTCAGCAAAGCTGATGAGGTCCCAGAAAGTTTCCATAGATGGTACATACACAAACAGACCACTATTAAAGCAGTCTGGCCAGCCAATATCTGGTACAGCTGACAGCTCATCACGTTCAAACAGCTCATCACAGTTTTGAACAACCTGGAAAGTGGAAATAAGTTGCTTGAAAAGTGCAGTTTTTGAATTAACTCTGACATACGATTGAAAAATACACATTGAACTAATCACCCTGAGCTGAAATCAATTATAACGTAGTAAAAGATTATGCAAATTATACACATGTTATGTTATGTAAAGGATAACACAAGACTACCACATCATCCTAATAGCCCAGTAATTTTATGCACTTTTTTTCATTTCCAGAGAGTCTTTTTTTTTATGTGCAAGAAAAACACTTTCTCTTCATGGCCATTGCTGGTCTCACTGCAAACTTGAACAAATGACCCGTCAGTCCACATGTCACTTCCAAGCTATGTGTGAGCTCAAAAACAGAGTAGCGAACATGCATGCCAAACCCTACTGACATAAGAACAAACTGTCGGGTTAAATGGTTTTGCATAGTTGATGTGAAAAATTGGTGCAATAAAAGAACACTAATAGCTAGTTGATTTTTTTCTTTCCTCCTTAAGTGTGCACGTACCAGTTGTTCTAACATGGCTGTGCCGACCACCAAGTCATGCACACTAAATAAACTCATCAAAAGTAATGCTCCATTAGTATGTGGCAGTTTAAAACTGCATTAAGAAAAGTGCCTGCCCGTCACCTGGTGATATTATCCAAGATGTTTTGTATACATAATGGCAAGATTAAAACACAAAGGCTACAAACTTCTGCAGAGTGCATCTCTGACAAACATGAAGAAATGCTGCACACCAAGTGTAATTTGATTGGTCCAATATAATAGTGCTCCTCGTTCAGTCATATTCTACCTTTAAAATCCTTCAGGTCAAATGGTCAATCCTTGTAGTACATAAAGTATGGCACAGTTATCTATCAGGCATACTCTTTTCAGTGGCTGCTGAATGGCTCAGCCTATAAAACTGCTCACTTCAGATTAGCATAATGTTCGTGTAGCACATCAGGCATAAGCACTGGCAGATGAACAGTGGTAGCTCCATGAAAGGGACAAAATTCCCATGATATTGTGAGGCATGTTTGAAGTCAATGCATAAAGTGCAATCATGAATTCAGCACTTAGTCACCACTTTTGGCCAGTGACAGAATGCACAAAATAGGGGTTTACAAAGAACTGAAACAAAATTATATCTCATCAGCTTCTAGTTAAATGTTATGTCATCAATAGGGTTGCAAGAGCAATACTTTTACTCAGCACTGTATAAACCGGCTATCTCAAACTCTGTTTTTTAACTGAAATAAAGCCATAAGAAATCAACATTCTCTGTGAAAGTCTTGACAGGATGGCATGTGAATTTTTAGAAGCATTCTGCATCAAGACAAGAGAAATTAACTACACGAGCAATACATCAGTTAATTTTCTTGCACTTAAGATGTAGATATTCAGTATGACACTTCATTACACAGTGTTGTAAGAGTTTTCTACACCCTTCATGGAATGAACAGTTTAAATGTGGCCTTGACACGTTGGTTCTGTACCATTCTTCTAAAGCAGTCTTTCCTAGTTGCACCAATACGCAATTCACAAGTTTAAAAGCTTGCTTTGTGCCATGCAAGGACCAATGCAAGACAACAGACCAAAATCTTAAAAGCTCACCAGCATTCCTGCATCCAAGAAAATACACTTTGAAAACTGTGTCAACCGCCAAGCGTGCAGCTTGGTGTATGACACGCCGATGTCTGGCTGTTCCAAGAGAGCAAGTTTCGTGGTACCTTGAGTCCCAAGAGAACGGACCGAGAGCACCACATTGAAGACACATGACAGTAGATGTCTGTAATAACAATTCGCAAATGCAATTGCATTCTGGATAGCTTGCTTAACATTATTTACGACATTCAACATTACATGAACATTGCCATAATAGTCTTATATTGCATCTTTTTAAGCACACATCACAAATAGAAAAAATTATGGTTATCATATTGCATCTAATGAGAAATTTTATAAAAAGCTGCATACAATGAAATAAAATTAGTCTTTGTTTTCCTCGTACACTAACAGCTTTAACTACGCTTGTACGAATATTCGAATGTTTCAAATATTTGAGCTAATATTCCTGTATTCAAATTTGCTTTGATTACATTTCAAATTGTTGAAAATTTAGGAATATTCAAAATGAATGAATAGATGTATATCAATCCGCATGTAACTCTCTGTAAAGATGAATTCACTGCAATGAAGATGTTTTAAACTAGGAAAACACATAGCCAGGGAAAATCTGTACTGCCGCAAAGCCCTACTTCAAGGTTAAATGAACGTATTACCCTGACATTGATTGATCATTTTTAAAGTTTAAAAGTTTGTTATGCTGGTTTACATGCTCTAAGTATAATCAATTTTAAAACATTATTTTACAGGTTATGACTTCTACTAAAAGTCAAACCCTGCTACTATTCAAAGTTGCTTCCTCCTCCTTTAAACCAAAAAGAATGACATTTGTGCAGGTTAGTTGGGTCATGAGAAACATAGCCATTTGTTTTTATAAGATGAGATATACACTATTCGAATTTGATCAGAAATTATTCGGACAAAATTGCTATTCACTTAGAATTCGCTTTGAACCTAAGTTTCGCTATTCGCACAAGCCTAGCTTTAACCATTAATTTGCAGTCAACTTTGAGCAATCAGGCAATGGTTAATTCAATTATGTAATATGTTGTAAAAGGTACATATGCTTAATTATGAGGTGTTCTTTATTTTTAACCTGAATAATATTAATACCGCCTAGTTGTACACCGACCACAGCTATATTAACGATCATCACCAGATGCGCAGACCTTGCTCATCTAATAGTGGGGCTACTTTCAAGCCCTTCACAACACTGAGAGTCGCAATGTAATAACAGTATTCGCCTTAACTCACTGAGTGCAGACTGTAAGAAAAGGTTTTCAGCAGAAAACACTGACAGACAAAAGGGCTGAATATGCATAACATGCATATGGGACTAGGAAATGAATGTATAAATCCATTTTGATGCTTGATATAACAGTGAATGCAGTGCGTCCCCCCTCCTTTTTTTCTTTTATCGTGTAATTCAGTTCACTGCTTAAACTGGTGGACAGGTTTTTTTCTTTTTTTTTTTTTCGGTTAAGCTTTGTTTATGTTAGTATATAACTGACAGTGCATTGATACATCATTTCCAGCTAATCTGTATAGTAATTCAAGTACACTTGCTACGAAGAGCAAAGTTATATCAATGATGTAACTACAATACACTTTTACACCATTAACTGTACAATAAAGATATATCAAAGATATACCTTCAACAGGTCATGGTAAATGTTATGGGTAGCTGTGTAAGCAGGACCTATAGGGCAAGCTTCCATTCAGAGTTGTACAGAATTCCGCTTGACCGAGAAATAACATGAATAAAGGAAATGGGAGCCTTGTTTGTGAACAAGGCTCCTAAGAAGAAGCCAGACTGCATTCTTTTATGAATGTACATACTTTTACTTTGGTTGGCATGGTGTTTTTCTTCATTTTTATTTATTTAAAAATATGTTGTAGGCTTTAAGGGAGGCATTAATTAAGGGGGCAGTGAAGTTTATAGCCAGAAAGAGTGTCCTAGCCCCCCTTCCCCCTCCCAAAAATGGGATGAGAATAAAGAATAAAAACCAAGAATAAAGAATAAAAATAGTAGTTTTCAAAGGCCTTCCACAAGTAAGCCCACCGCGAAAAAATTTCTGGCTGCAGGCCTCAGGGCTACATATGACTTTAGTAAACATAAAAAATTCAATGAAAAAAGTTACAATGCTATAAAGTATAAGTTTTATTAACTACACTAAGTTGATTTTATTGATTTGTGGGGTTTACCCTCCCAAAATCACCATATAATTTTGAGAGACACCGTAGTGGAGGGCTCCGGAAATTTCGACCACCTGGGGTTCTTTAACGTGCACCCAAATCTGAGCACACGGGCCTACGACATTTCCGCCTCCATCGGAAATGCAGCCGCCGCAGCCGGAATTCGATCACGCGACCTGCCGGTCAGCAGCCAAGTACTTTAGCCACTAGACCACCGTGGCGGGGCTTAACTACACTAAGTAAATTTTATACAAAATCATGAAAACAAACAAAAATGTGACATGAGCAACAGCATTGGAAAAAATTTGTTTAACAAGAAAGCTGCCAGTTGACAATGAGCAAGACTGCTGTCAAACTTTATATACAGCCTTTATTAGATAATTACTTAGGCCTATTATAGAATCTATTCTAAATCAACTGAGGTACAATACTGTCCTGGTGAGAGTCCTTCAATCAGACACTATGTGAAAGCACAAAGTAGCTGAATGCACATATTGATGAATGAAATTTTGACAACTGAAATGATTATGTGGCCAGTGTGGCATACACCAGGGACATTGTACACATGCTACTGTTGCTTAATTGAAATTAATGATCCTTAACTATGACAACAGAACAATGTCTGAAATACTTTAGTAGGAATAGTTGGTGCATATTTAGCCTGTCAACGTGACCTTTCCGTATTTGGGAACAAGTCTGTACAGCACACAATGCCAGCAGAACAAATTGAAATGTGAAAATTTAGAAGCCATGGCTGTAAATGGAAACAGGGGCTCATGCGCCAGTGCACCATCAATACTTTTTGTGGAAAAAAAAAAGCTACTTGAGCAAAGCTAGTCCTTCAACCTAAAAAAACATGCTCTAGACAGAAAAAAACAACAACACTGCACTGGGTTTTGTACTATATTAAAGGTGGTTTTTCAACATTTAGTTACTAATACATTAGTGGATCACATCTTCCCTTCTCTCTCTGCTGTTGTTTATTGCTGTAACTATTTTCTTGTAGTAAACAATCAAATTTTCAAGTGTATAATTTAGTCTGAATCGTATAATTTAAAATACTTTCCCCATTTTAATAAGGTCACAATAGAGGATATCAACTGAATTTGAAAAAACCTTATTCATGTGGTGTGTGTGCATGTAAAGGGGAGGAAGGTGCTTGTCATGCAAGCCTGCAGGAGCTACTTGCACACACTGGCAAATATGAGATCTTCAGGAAGCAGAAAGTTTTCACTACTTCCATTTCCTGCCATTTCTTGACCAAACACATTTCGGTGCCCTTAGACTTGAGTAAGTGATGATAAATTTTATTGCAACAATGTTGTGAGCTTTATGTTCAGCAACATCCACAAAATGCTTTCAATGTTATTAAAAACACATACTCTCAATAGCTGCTGTTTTGGTTTTATTTTAATCTATACACAGGCATGTTAACTTAAGATGTAGTTAATTTGCAATCCAAACAAAAGACACCACTGATGACTTATAAAAGTTAAATTGCTAATCTTCCCTTTTGCCACATAGCTTAAAAGAAACACAGGTGCATCACTGGTAGTATTAAGTAAGCATTTCTTGGTATTAATATTAGTGAATAAAATTGAAGTGTGAAACTAATGAACAAACGTACGCATGCACAACCAACCTGAATGCATGAGACACTCCATCAGTCACCAAGACGACAAGAGACCGAGAGGTTTTGGAGAGCCACAGTGAGTTTCCCAAGACAAGGCATAGCATGGCACTGAGGTCATTGTTTGCCATGGTAACATAAGCTTCATGTTGCACACTTGGCACCGCTGGTTCTGGGATAAGCGGCTGGACCAGATCAGTCATCCAATCTGAACTAAGAGATGACTTCCGTCTAACCCCACTATGTTCTGCTGGAGGTAATTCACTGCCTGCCTGATTTTCTTGGACGTTTGACCCAAGGTTATGAAGCTGGAGCTCTGAAGGTCGCTTGACCAAGTTCAGGAGTTCTCCACTTTCAGTGAAATGAGCACTTAATCTGACCTCATCACTTTTTGAAGGCTCAACGACACCTCCATTGCATTGTGAAGTTGCAGGTGACAAGCCATTTTCTGGAGATATGACATATTGCACTTCTGGAAGCTGAGGAGCACAAAGGCTCAGCTCATCTTGCTTAGGCACATTTGACAGCTCCGAACCAGTTGGAACGAGGGCACTGCTCAGCAGATTTATAGCAAGACTGTTCATGGGTACAGCCATGTCTGGTACCTGGCCAGCAGGCAAACTCGGAGGCTGAGAGTGAAATGAAGCAGTGCCTTCACTATGAAACTTTCCATTGTCTGGAAAGTTCTGTACAGGTTCGGCTGAATACAAGAGTTCAGAATGCCTCTTGTTGTTGTTGTTGTTGGAGTTCTGAGTAGAAATGGAGTATGGCACAGGCATTGACGAAGTTGACTCTGGACACTGCCATGCATGAGCTTCTGGTGAAGCAGTATTTGCCTGCCGATTATGCAAGCCCGTGGGATGCTTAGCATCCTTATGGTCAAGACTGTTGGCTACCACTGAAGAGTCACCTCCCAATGGAGGAGGAACCCAAGTTTTTTGAAAGGATGCAAGTTTCTCCCGTGCACACCAGCTACAGTCTGGAGGGTCTTTGCCTTTCACAATAATGTCTACACTGAGCTGCTGGATAAGTGTCTGGATTGCAGAGACATATTGCATCATCGACTGTGAACAGGAACTACAGAGCGGGGGCTCCTGCAGAGACTGCGTCTTTTTAGCACTCAGCATTTTGGTATAATAGTCATTAAAATCATCACATGCAAGCTGAGAGTGACGAACACAGTGCTTCCTATCGTCCTGGTATACACCTAGACTTTGTGGATTGGTATTTGACCTGTATTTATCTGACTGACTCGCAACTATCGCTTGAGATATATCCACCCGCAAGTCAGGAACAGTGGGAAATACAGGAAAAGGATAAGATGGCTCTGTAGCTTGTGGAGCTTGGTGTGATTTCTTAGCCATGCTGTTTTTCATAGGGTCATTGATTATGCTTTCTTTGAAAGAGAAGCTTTCAAGTTCGCAACCATCACTGGACTTTGGATCTGTGCTAGTGTAGGTGAAAGAAACTGTACTAGGCATTGTACTATCATTTTCTACTGCTGCCTCAGATGGTGCTGCCTTTGCTGGCTCTTCAACTATGCAAACTGAATTATCACAGTGAGGACGGGGAGTTGAAGGATCAGTGAAGGAATGAAGGTCATCTTCAATCACCAAAGATTCCGGTAGATCTTCTTGGCTGATTTCCTTTTGAAGGGGTTGCCATCGTTCAAACCTAGAATGTGCAACAATGTTTAAATTATTACTTCTCTTTGCAATCTCTCACAAAACTCACTTTGCCTAAACACATCAGTAGCCATGAATTTATGCTTACCACTAATTAAATAAGTTGTGAGCATTTATTACATTTAAGAAAAAATATGAATCCACCTCGGTAGTAGGCAGCATGTCAGTCTCATTATTTGTACAGAGCCGTCCGCTTTTACCTTGAACATTGCACTGTGTGACCGGCGTTGCACGGAGTGCTTCTCCCGGACAGTTCGGAAACGAGCGCAATGACAGCTGGAGGTGGGTCCTTAGCCGCATTGTCTGCTATAGAGTGCGGTGGCTCGACTGAATTGTGCCTGCTTTATGGTAAAGCAAGCATCACTCTTGCTATGTGCGCACACAAATTTAGAAGACAAGCACGACCTTAATACTATAAGAACTAGCAGTAACCCAGATTACACCCCACCAGTAATGATAGAAGAAGTCAGAAAAGCTTTGCAGAGCATGCAAAGGGGCAAAGCTGCTGGTGAGGATCAGGTAACATCAGATCTGCTGAAAGACGGAGGACAGATTGTGTTAGAAAAACCAGC